AAGATTGTAAATCAAATTTTATTCTGAGGGCGTTCTTAGTTATTGAGATTTTATGGCATGATAAATAAATGCTTCAAATCCAAGGCTTAAAGGCTGATTCATAAGGGTGATAATATTGACAAACCAACGCAGGGTAAAGGTTACATAGAACTACTTAACTTTTAATATACTGTTTTAAATACACAGCTTCAGTGCCTGTTTCTTGACAGTATGTAATGTATCACACCAGCTTGGTCTGGCTGTTGTCTTAATAAGTTAGAGTGCTGAGGGATGGCACCTTCCCCTTCTGAGGTCGAGGGGAAATCACACATTCATTTTACCTTGAATATGGTTAAAGGGCACATTCTTTGCCATCTTTCAGGTGGGTCACCTTACAGTTTGGAAAACAAGACCTAATTATTCTTATTACCTTGTCTTGCAAAACTACAAACACGATTGTGCGGGGGAGGGCATAAAAAACACTAATTTGACCCTGTTTTTATTTTACTTTATTTATTTATTATTTAATTTGTATAATGCCCCTCATCTGAAGATCACAGGGCAGTTCACAACATAAAACTACAAAATGAGAACACAGAATACATAATAAAACAAAAACAAACCAATAACCTGTCCTCCCACAAATACATTTAAAAGGCCATAGAATGTTAAAGCAGACATCTACACTTACCTGTTGCCCTGTGCTTTCTGGGCATAGGTCCAAACACTCTTTTTATTTTTGCCCCACCACTTTCCCCAGGAAAGCTGCTCTTCAACACTGAATCGGAACAAACAGCAATTCAGGTTTTCTGCAGATTGCTGTTTGTGCCGATTCAGAAGTAAGGAGTGGGCTTTTGCGGGGAAAGCACAAGGGCAAAAAAAAAAAGTGCTTAGACAGGAAGTTTAAAGCATGGACTTGTGCCTAAAAATGCAGAGCAAAGGTAAGTGTGGATTTGCCCTTAGTTGTGCCCAAAAGCTCTGTTGTTTTCACTAAACAGACAAACTCAGCTACCTCTCTGGAAGCTAGCAAATAGCTATCTGCAGTCCTCTTCAGCACGGAGCAGATCTGGGAATGACTATTGTTCAGGGGAAATACAGCTTGTCCCAAAAGGGCTGTTAGTATGGGGATCAGACTTAAGGTAATGATATGATGATGAGCTTGGCACTTCAGATAATACTGGGGTAAATAGATGTAGATTGAATAGTAAAGGGTAACATAGAACAGGTAGAAGTATAAATGTTCAGGTGTTAGTAAGCACTTTCCTCGGTAGTGGTGATGTTAGGGCCAGACTTGCGCCCTGAAACCTAGACCCCCTTCCATTACCTGTAGATGATGGGAACTTGCTGCAGCACCCAGCATGAGCACACCATTTGTTAACTTCTAGAGGCACTGGGCTGCTGAATGTACAGCACCCTGAAGGACCAAAGTTACAGGTGCACCCAACATCTTCATGCTTCCTGGGGGAAAGAATGGCACTGGCAGGTGGCTCACTGTGCAGTACACCCACCAGCCAGACCTCTTTAAGTGTTAAAAAGGGACACCCCCTGGCTCCTGCCACCACCTGGTAAGCTAAGGGAGAGCGGAAGAACTAGGACAGCCCCTCAGACCTGGCAGAGCTCCTGTTCACCAGTCAATTCCATGCCTCCCAACCGTGAGCAGCAAATATTACCGGTATCTCACTTGTTAAGACTAATCCGATTGCAAATCACAGTGGTATATAACTAAGCTTTGAAAAGGTGAGAGCACAGGCAATCAGCCTCCTAAGAAACAATTCACTGCACTCTTCTTTTGAAAGTGGAAAGCTGCCCATTAAAAAAAAACGAAAAAAACCCACCCTTTAAAAACTTCTACTTTATAGAGGCTAGCTACTTGTAAAGATGAAACGTTCTCAAGAAGGCTGCTCAGCTAAATGCCATCACAGCTGCAAGTGTCAATCCAAGGCAATTCCCTAGCCAGCTTGGGAATTACTCTCGTAAATAAAGAGCACAGCTTGAAGCACTGACTTTTTCTGATCAAAATGTGTCCTGGAGAAAACTGAACAGTTTTAGGTCAGGCAAAGGCCTCCGTTTCTGGTGGGTCTTTTATTATTTTCACAGGGAGCACTGTACAGAGAGTGTGAAAAACGCAACAGTTCCTCACAGTAATAATGATTTGGTCTATAATGTGAGTGGTTTTTTCCCCCTTTTTTCTTCTACTTGGTTACAGAAGGACTTTTTATATATATATAAAAAAAATGTATTTGAAGAAAGCTTACAATTCTTCCGGGCAGTAGTTTTAATAGCCACAACAGCAGCCCAATTTTTCTGATGCACAACTCAAATTAAAATACAACAACTATGATCACCATTTGAACAGCCCTAACATAATATCATTTATGGAAGGGGGTCAGCAGGTTTTTGTTTCGTTCTTGTTTCTATTATGTATTTTGTGTTTTTATCTTGTATTTTTATGCTGTGAACTGCCCTGATATCTATGGATGAAGGGCTGTAGACAAATGTTAACAACAACAACACTATATCCATGTTATTAAATGTTATCTGACTTCTTTGAAAATGAAAACATTTAAACTGAGTTTTGATAAAATGTCCCACATTGCACATTTAACTTTAAAAATGAATATACAGTAGATTATGTATGAGCTGTAAGAACTATGCATTATCCTAGCTAATTAATTAATGTGCATTTCCGAATTCTGATTTACAGCACTACAAAGTTGTGATGTGCTTGTGACAGGAGACAGAAAATAGGGATGTACGTATTTACAAGTTATGAAACTATTTTTAACTAGCTGCATTCTGATTTGGGGTCTAGACTCCCCTTCTAAAATAATACTTGGAGCCAGACGTTATGATGTAATGCCTTCTCTGCATTCTGAATACCAGTTTTGTTGTCCTTATTTTAAATACAGTGCCTGCCTCATATACTGAATGCATTGGCAAAAGCTGTCTGTTCAGTATAGAAGGGGGTGACATAAAGAATAGCTGGACAGAGAACTTAACATTTATTGACTTAGGGTAACTCTGTACTAGTATGTTAGTTGCAAACATGGTGATTGTGTACAGGAACATAGCATCAACATAGCATCACACCAAGTTGGACCATTGGTCCATCTAGCTCAGTATTGTATATACTAGGGGTCAGCATCCTTTTTGAGCCAGTGAGTACATTTGCCAAGCAGTGAGGCTGTCATGGTCACCATACATACACACACAGCTTATTCAATCCGCTAAAACAGAAAGCTTGTTTCAAGTCCAATTTCAATGGGGTGAGGAGTGGGGGAGAGGCCTTGTGATCACCAATAAAAACCTATGCAAGCAGATGAGTGGTGGCTATAGGCATCATATTAGCAACTGCTGGTCTATATGGACTGGAAGTGGGTGGCTATTCAGAGCTTTAGATAGGATACATTTCCAGGGATGGCAGTGCTGACAAGTACTGTATTTTTTTTTAATAAGATATTTATTAAAGTTTCAGCATATTACAAAAATAAGAGAAAAAAGTAAAAGAAAATAATAAAAAAACAAAAACAATCTACATCAATTTCTTTCTGTGGCCCTTGTGTATATAATTGTTTAAAATACCTCTGGAAACAGTTTCTAATCTCGACTGGGTTCTGTATGTTCTTTCCTTCCACTTCTAGATTTATAATAGTGTTTAGTTTTTGTCTTTTTTTCATTTGCCAGGCCAACAATTTCCCACATTTATTAGCCGACTCAAATGTCTTTTGTCTCATTTGTTTAATTTTCCATTCTATTTCCTGATTCATCATTTTCATATATTGTACTTGATATAACTTTATTTCTCTCAAGATCTCTTGCGACTTTGGGTTTGCTCTCAATTTCTTCTCACTTTCCTTTATTTTCTCCAAAATTTTATCTTTCTTCTCATTTTGGATTCTCTTCTTTATTGCATTCTGTTGTATCAGGAACCCTCTCATAACCGCTTTGCTTGCGTCCCAGATTACTCTTTTTTCAACGTTAGTGTTCATGTTTGTCTCGAAATAGTCTCCCAAGGTTTTTTGGGCCTTCTTAGTCACTTCTTCATCTCTAAATAAGGTGTCATTCATCCTCCATCTGAAAGAGCCAGTTGGTGTTAGTTTCATCTCCATCTTCACGGCATTATGGTCAGAGCAGGTTTTTGGGCAAATTTCCACTTTTCTTGTCTTTGGTGCCATTCCTCTAGTTACCCATATTTGGTCAATTCTTGTCCATGTCATTTAGGCTTCAGAGAAGAAGGTTCCCTCTCTACCCAAGGGATTCTTTGTTCTCCAGATATCAACTAAATCCAAGTTGTCTGTCATCTCAAAAAAGGTTTTCGGTAGTCTACCATCCTTAGTGACTACCTGTCTTTGTGCCTTGTCCATATTTGTAGATACCACTCCGTTCATATCCCCCATCAAAATCACATTATAGTCCAAATAGTCCATCAAGGTCTCATGCAACTATTAAAGAATTCAGATTTCCCCTCATTTGGTGCATAAACTCCTACTATCAAAAATTTCTCTCCTTGTATTTGAATTTCAATTGCCACAAATCTTCCTTGGTCATCTTTAAAGATAAATTTCGGTGATAAACTCTCCTTTGCATAAATCACTACTTTTTTTTTAACTTTGTCCGATGAGATAAACTCCTGACCCAGTCTTTTGTTGATCAATACTTTTCTATGTAGCCTTATCACATGTGTTTCCTGTAAACAAATCAAGTCCAATTGTTCCTTTTTAATAAATGAAAAACTCTTTTCCTTTTCTGGGGGGAGTTGAGACCATTAGTATTCCAGCTTAATAGTTGCAGAGCCATGATGTAGTTACTTTGCTTTTCCTCCAACTGCGCCAAGTGTTTGTTCTTGTTCTGTCGGTGGTATCGCTTTCTCTAAGCAGTCCAGTCCAAAAGGTAGTGTTGCTATGTCTAGTTTTCCTCTTTCTAGTGCTCTTAGCTCTTCTCCAGATTTTTTCTGCAAATCTTCTCCGTGATCTTTCAAAAATCTTTCTTTGTCGTCCACTGATTTTATTTTTATCTTTCTTCCTTTGAAGCTAAAAGATAGGCCTTGGGGAAATTCCCACCTAAAGATAATTCTGTTGCTTCTCAACAGGGCGACCAAATCTCCGTAATTGGACCTAAGGTCCAAAAGATGTTTCGGGATGTCTTTAAATATCTCCACTCTTGACTGATGTATTTCCAAAGTCTTCTGAAAGTGCAGACTCAAGATTTTGTCTCTCTCCTCTTTTGTTCGAAGGGTGATCAAACAGTCTCTCACCCTGTTCATCTTCCCCCCTCTTCCAAGCCTGAAAGCACTCACTATCTTAAAATCTTCCTTCTCCAAATCTAGGTTCCAAAAGTCTGCAAATTCCTGCATAAGAAAGTCAATCAGATTGTCTTTCTCAAGTTCAGGTACGGCTCTGATCCTCAAATTCGTTTGTTTCTCCTTCAATTCAATCATAGACAACATCGACCTGTGGTCCTTGAGTTGCCTATGTATCGGTGGTATCTTCTCTTCTACAGCAACTGCTATTTCCTTTGCTTCTTCAGCTGTCTTTCGGGTCAAGGTAGATTCCTGTAGCAGTTTCTCAATAGTTTCTGTGTTAGTGTTCACCTTCTGTCCCAAATTATTAATGCTTGTAGTATTCTGATCAATTTTAGTTGATGCTTCAGCTACTTGTTTACTTAGTTTTTCCAAAGATTCATTAATTTTGCCTAATGCCAGGGCTAAAACACCTTCACATGCCATTCCTTTTGGTTTAGGTTGTACAGAGGCAGCCCCTGATGGTGCAGAAGGGCCAGATGCTGATGCTCTTCGCTGCTGCCAAGTGTCTGGACGGAAAGATCTACCAGACCTCGTTGTTTTTTCTTGAAGCAAGTCTACCTTTTCTTTTCCATCTGCCATAACACTCTAGTTGAAGCCCAAGGTCAATCCCACGGCCAGAATTTGTTTTGAAGTGGAAAATTCCCCTGGCCCAGTTGTTGTAACAATTTCAAACTTCCTCTAGGGGGACACAGTAACAGTCAAAACTTGTTGCATTAAAAAAAATAACCCTTTTTAATCCCCCAATTCACAAAATAGGCAACAATTTCAATTTCAGTTAGTTTCCAGTTACTTTAAATCCAGGAGAAGCCAGCCCGAAACATTGTATCTCTCTTGCAGAGTTAACTGTCAAAAAGTACTCTATTCACCAACAGCGCATTTCACAATACGGCATTCTTATTGTCCATTGGCAGCCCGTTCCCAGGTTTTAAGCGGTGTATTTTAACTTCTTTTCCTCTCTTTTTGCAGGAAAATATAGTTCACACCTTTCCCCCCTCCTCTCCTGCAGCCAAGGGGGGAGATCGCTTGTTTTGATGTTAGGATTATAGTCCTTTTCAATCGACTTTCCAGGTTTTAGCTTACAACTTCTTTGCTTTACTCTATTTACAAGAAACGGAAGGCGGACTTCCTGTTTATGCCTCCCCGCTCGGTACCGAATTAAGTCTTTATTTTCCTTTATTTCCAAATTTAATCTACTCACGGGTAGTTGTTTTTGTAGCCAGATTGTCACAGGAAAAAGTCAGCGCTCTCCGGTAACGGCTGTGCGGCTTCGCTCCACGGAAGAAGCAGTTGACTCTCAGCACCGCGCCACTTGCCCCGCTTCGCTCCGGAGCCCGTAATTGGGTTCCTTTACAAATTGGGGGGGCGCGAAAGGTGCCCGCCGAGTCCCACGGTCACAGGCTTCACCCGCCTGTGATTTTTTAAAGGGTCCCCGCTTCGCCGTAGCGGACCAGACCCGATTTCCGTAGAGCCAGTCCCTCCAGATCAGAGGGAGTCCGCCATTACCGATGGCGCCACCCCAGAAGTCCGGCAGTGCTGACAAGTACTGTAAAGGGGGCGGGCAAATAGACCTTTTCCCAGCATACTTTTCTTTGCTACATTCTAAATTCCACTGGCATGAACACAGACGTTACCTATCATGCACAGATTTAAGTATGCGTGATCGAACCAGTTTATTTATATACTTAATTATTTAAATATTTGTAGAAGCAGCTTGAAATAAAAGCATTAGAACAGCCAACCGTTGAAAATGAGCCAAACATTTCAAGTGTAAATTATAAACAGTTTGAAATATGAATGTCTTCCATGCCTGTTTAAAAAGCAGCAAAATATGGTCCATGAATACATACCTAGAGAATGAAGTTCTAAGTTTCCATTAAACATGGGGCCAACACCAAAAAGACCCCGTCCTATATAGGACAAGAGTTGTAAACCTGTGTCCCTTCAGATGTTGGATTCCAATTCCCATCAACCCCAGCCATAATAGCCAATGGTCAGGAATGCTGGAAGTTGTAGACCAACAGCATCTGGAAGGCCACAGGTTAATTCTAGTGCCTGCCAACTTAATATATATTGATGGCGGGCACACAACTCCCTGAACATATTTTTAGACCCAGACAGGTTTATACAAGTACAAATAGCCCTTCAAACAACTTGGCTACGCACTGTTTAGAGCTTTAAAAGTCACCACCAACACTTTAAACTAGTCCTGAAAAAAATCTAGCCTCCAGTGCAGCCAGTATCATATCGGTGTTCTATTCTTTGATTGCCCCCACAAGAGTCCAGAATTCACCGCATTCTGTACCAACTGAAGAATCCAAAACATCTTTTAATGCAATCCCTTGTGGACCTTATTGCAACAATCTAGTCTGGTTGTAACTAGGCTCCTTTCTCCCAGCCAAGGGATAATTACAGCTAAGGTGGGGCAGAAAGCTGACTGGACAATTAGTCCTCACATACCCAATGCGACTAGTATGCTAGGTTGTGGTTGTGGAGTTACTCCCTTTTCTTGTCCAGACTTCTCTGAATTTTTTAAAGTGCATAACAAGCATAAGTTTCAGATTATTTCCCTCCCATTTGGATATGAACCGAGGAGAAAGCATCACCTGTCGCTTTGCTTTTCAAACCCAGATCTAAAGCCACAGAAGCTCTGCTTTATATTATTAGCATATTATGGTAGTAAGCAAGCCTAAAAGTTTCCTGAAAGCTACACTACTGTGAGACTCCCACAACCTGCTGTGCTGCCGCTGCTGATGAATTACCTTGTTCGGGTTAAAGGGATGTACCTTGATTTATTTTACAAGGCAGAAGGCTCTCTTTCATCTCTGCAACTGCTCTATTACTGACCCAGAAATACTTTGATTTTCATCTCTACTTTCCATTCTTTCCTGGGTCAGCTGATTTCATCATCCTTAGAAATCTCATACCAGCTTTCTCACATTTGAAGGGTAGTCACTAAATATGTCAGCGACCTCCTGAAATGCTGACCCTGGGAACTTAATTTCTTTGAAAATAATGCTGCTCTTCTCTCACTGCTTAGAAGCCCACAAATTCATTATGCTGGAAGTGGAGGCAAGGAAGCAGACTCACGGACATGACTTTGGCCTGAATGCGGCTACTTGGTATTTCCCCCCTTTTTGGCTTCTTATTATTGTTTCTCCTCTCCATATTTATTTGCAAATGTATCCCATTAGCTTTAGCAGAGCTTACTCTGCTGACTAAACACATTCAATGTTACGGCACGAACATTAGCCATTAGACAGATGAGCAAGGAGAGTTTTAGAGCATGCTGTAATTCTCAGGAGTTATCATGATTTGATATTCAACTCCACCTCTGCTTTCTGCTTTCCAAAGAATCCTGCCATGACATGGTTGAAAAAGAATTCTGCATTTCTTTCACCAGCAGTGTTAAATTTAAATCCATAAATTTAAACTGTTTCAAAGAACTGGGTGGGTCCTGATGTACTTCTCCCCCATCTAAATACTGTTGCAAAGTTGACAGAAACTCCCTAAAATGTGGATGTGTTGACAACTACTGAAGAGGAAGCTCTCTCTGTTCAGTGTTTGGCAGAGTTGAGTAATATGATAATATGGCCATATGATGTCTTTGTAGAACAGTATTATGGGGGCATGTACATGCTTGTTGTCTGAAGCATGCCTAAAAAAAGAATGTTTCACATAAGTAACAATGGAGTTTCAGTGCTCAACAAATCACTAACGTCTGGTACCAGAGGACATTAGGTACCATGCATTTGCTCTATGTAAAAGAATGTCTACCAAGTGTATGTTCAGTAGAGTGGCATCCAGGCACAGGTCCATGAATTGCATTTGTCACTTCTTACGAGTAAACTTTGAAAATGTAACGTGTGGAGTGACCCCAAGTCCTTTATTAGGGGAGAAAAAGACTAACCAAGAAAACACATCTAAGTCGCTTATCGAGAGACAGCAATGTTTTAGGTTCAATCTTTGTTCACGGCAGCCAAAATGAACACTGACATTAACAGGGCCATTTCAAACCAAGGTTTGCCATCAAGTGTGCTCTCAGCAGCTGATCCTGGTTTCCAGTGATGCCTGTATGATCATGCACACTCATCATACTGACATAAGTTTTTGATGTATACTTTAAAAGCACTGTACAAATGGCTATAGAACACAGACACAGAAATATATATCTTTGTTATTTGAACATTATTTAACTACATATGTTTTCTTGAAGCAATGTTCTTTGATTAAACCACTTTGGGTTTTCAGCTTGACACAACTTTATCAATGACACCCCTATACCAGGGCATCCCAGATCCACTAAACTCCACTGGACAAGGCATCATTTTTCTTCTGAGATTCTGATCTAGACGAACAAGGTGTCATGTTCCTATCAACAGTTGCATTTTGGCTGAGCTATAATAGTCTTTTAGCATTTACTCACATTTGGCTATTTAGAAAAAAACTCTCTTGCAATTTTGACAATACAAGGTCTTCAACAAGTCTTCAAGGATGTCTGTTACAAAGGGTCACAGCAATGAAAGGCCCAAGCGCCCAATGCCAAAAAGATATCCAAAACTATAGATATGCTTTTGTACTCACCATGAGAGTACTGTCCAAAGAAAATCTTTTGCTAAATTCCTTTTTCACTAGATGCTGCTTTTTGTCCATGGCTGAATATCCTTTATTCTTTATTCTCTTAGAAATGCCAGGTTGTTGCCGCTTTCACTGTGATGGAAAAATAAATACAAATTAATTGCTGTAACCCACCCAAGTACCTTAGGGTGAAAGATGAGTAATAAATTAAAATAAAAACACTGCTTAGTTGATTCAATGAAACATACACCAATTGCATTTAATGAAGTTAGTTTGGAATCCCACCCCCACACTTTTGATTGAATTTCTTTGGGTCTTGAAAATGCTACAGAATACATCCAGATCACAACTAAGGTGTGCTTGGATTTATATTTATATTTTAAGGAAAACTGGCAAATCACCAGCAGGTGAGGGTTTTCAAATTTGCATAGTTGCAATGTGCTTGCTTAGAACTGATTCAAGAGACAGAAGTTGAAGTGGGGTTGGCCTGAAAGGCTGCAAATCAGTTGTAGAGCATGTTTTGCACACAGGAGGTCCCAGACTCAATCTTTGGCCTCTCTAGGTAGAACTAGGAATGTCCCCTGTCAGAAAGCCTAGAATGCTGCAAGTCGGTATTTAGTTCAATAGTGAACTAGATAGACCAATTGTCAAAGTTGGTATAAAGCAGCTCCCCATGTTCCTGTGACCCTGTTATTTTACCACAGGCATAGGCAAACTCGGCCCTCCAGATGTTTTGAGACTACAATTCCCATCATCCCTGACCACTGGTCCTGTTAACTAGGGATGATGGGAGTTGTAGTCTCAAAACATCTGAAGGGCCGAGTTTGCCTATGGCTGTTTTACCACATGTCAGTAAGGAGCAGCTCTTCATCAGAGAACTTATAAACAGCTCATACATTTGCTAAGCTAACTGCTCTTTGCAACTGAATTCTCACATAAGCCGGCTACTCACATGAGCAGTGCTCCTTCAGAGAATCCTGGATGGCTGTAGCCCAACCTTGGAAGTGAGAGCCCCATTCAGTTGTCCAATGAACATGCATAGGGGCATGGCATTATGGCAAATGGCAATGAGTTGTAGCCAACAAAGTCATTCCATTTGTGCAAGGATTTGTACCAGGTCCAAATATTAGCTAAATCTAAGAATTTAGGAGGATCTGCCCTCCCTGAAAAACTCATAACAATATTAACAGAATTGGCTGAATAAGAGCCCCAATACATGCAGTCTTTTCAGGCATTCACAAATGGACATAGCATGGAGGTGGAGCTTGTTACCAAAGCATCGTGTCCTCACAGTGAACACATTTCTGAACAACTGAACAGAGTGTCCTGTAACTGAAAATCCTTGGTTGCAATAGCTAGTCTGAAAACTTGTATGTATTCTGGCTCTTATGTTATATGAATACTCCAAGTGCACAACCAATTAAAAAGCATATATCCTATTATTATTATTATTATTATTATTATTATTATTATTATTATAGCCCACCTTTTCTTCGAGGTGCTCAAGATGGCATACATGGTTCTCCCTCTCCTTGTTTAATCCCCACAATAACCTTGTGAGGTAGGTTAGGCTGAAAGGCTGTGACTGGTCTGACGTCACCCAGTGAGTGTCATGGCCAAGTGGGGATTTGAACCTTGTTCTCCCAGGTCCGAGTCCAACACTCTAACCACTACACCACACACAGTGGTGGAGGAAGCTGCTGGGTGCCTGGTGCAGTGCGCCCAGGGGCAGGGCGAGATGCCCATAGGGGCGGGGCACACTGCAGGGCCTCTGGAGTCTGCCTGCCTCCTCCCACTCAGCCGGCCTACATCGGGGGGGGGCAGCGGGCAGACCATTTGGGCAGCACAGAGCTTGTGCACACCCAAGCCACCACGTCTCTCCCAGGAGAGGCATGTGGCTCAGGTGTGCTGCAGGCCCCACGGTGAGTGCCGCCCGACATTTTGTCACCCCCCCCCCTCAGTGGTGACACCCGGGTCAGCCTGCACTCACTGCACCCCCCTTCCTCCACCCCTGACCACACATACCAGTTCAAGTAAATATATGTGTGCAAAGTAAGTCTTATGAGCTTTCCAAGTGTTTGAGATGTGAAAGACAACACTGGAAAGTAGGATGCCCAGAAAGTTTTGGGGCCAAGTTTCTCAAGTGGCTTAGACAGTTAATATGTGCCATAGTTAAATTGATAGTTTTGTAGCATGGCTCTGTCCATTACTAACACAACTAAATGGCAGTCCTGTGTGATTATACTTTTTTCTTGTTAGGAAAAAACAGAGCGAGAGAGGGAGAGATATCTTTTCTGTTTGACATAAAAAATAACACTGAGTATAGTAATTATTTCTAAATGGCACTAGAATAGACCATCAAATTAAATATTACAACATTTCAATCACCACATGAAGCTGGATTAAAAAGGGGTAAAAGGTGCTATTTATCAACTCCCCAGCCTATTCAGTTCTTTGGAAACTATCCAGCATAGCACACACTGGTACATATTGTTATACAGCAGCCCTGCTTATGAAGGAAGCACAGCGCTACCTCAGTTTTCGAATCTAATCCATTCTGGAATACCGTTTGTATTCCAAAACGTTTGAAAACTAAGGCGCAAAGGGTGGTATACAAATTTAATTGAGAAAATTGGGAAACACTCAGTGGAAGCCGTTTGACCTCTGAGGCGCGTTAGAAAACTGAAGCATTTACTTCCAGGTTTTCAACGTTCAAAAACTGGAATGTTAGACTTCCAAGGCATTCAAAAACCGAGGTACCACTGTACTTCAGAAAAATGTGTGTGTTTGTGTGATCTTTTTCATTTCTTCAAAAAATAAAAACACCCCAGTCAATGCAACTAATATTCCAGGATATTGCAAGACTCAAGAACCTTTGCAAGACAACATGAAATACAATTCTCAATACATTATGCTTCTCAATTCAGACCACAGGAGCAGTGTGGTACAGCTCACAATCTATTCACCAAGGTTGCTTTAGTAGAATATATCACTTAATCTATCATTTAATAAATATATTTTAATATCATTTGCTCATCTTTCTCCTCAACAAGCGAGTATCCAAATAATGTTGATTTATGGTTGTGTGTGTATGTGTTTATGTACAATTTTATTTGTACACTACTAGGATATCTCTTTGATCAAGTGGTTTAAAAACTATTCTAAACATAAATAATGGAATTTATTAAAAATTTCATACCAGGTTGTTAATAATAGTTATAGTAGAATTCCCACTCTCCATTGATAGCTGGCCTAAATTAAACATATCTATAATTATAGTTATTAATCCTGGTTGAAGAAGTGATATAGCTATTAGCCAAACAGGTAATATTGATTGATTGACTGATTGATTGATTGATTGACTTACTTCTAAAATGTATAATATGCCACTCCCATGGTCAATAATTAACTTAGTATAATGATTACATGAAAAATTATGAAAGCTACATCTATATTTAAAACCTTTATAGGTACATGGCCTACATTATACCACAGCCTAAAGGATGGTAACTGCTTTTAATATTTTGCTACATAGATATGTTGTGCATTCTCTTTTCCTCTCTGTCATTCTCCCTTAAAAATGAAAAGAAAATTATGCTGGTACCACTAGTGCAATGTACTGTGAGCTGGAGTTTGATCCATGCTCTGGTAACTTTCAGACTGGTTTAATGTAAAATGTTTTATGTGGGAATGCTCTCAAAGATGATGTAGAAACGTCAACTGGCCCAAAATGCAGCAGATTACGGGCTAAGGATCCCTTTAAAACTCATGTTTTAAAACAGCTGCATTAGATGCAAGTTCATTTCTGGGCCTGATTCAAGGTGTTTAAAACCCTAATGACTTGGGCCCCAGATATCTGAAAGACCACCTCCTTTTGATATGATGTTGGGCACTACATTGAGAAGCTAAAATAGCATCTGCCTGCTGCTACTGACAGTCCAGAGCAGAGGGACGTTGACCTTCTGTTTTAAAGTCCCACCCCAGCACCACTAGGACCAAGAAGACTACTGGTAGGGCCAAGAAAGGGTGCAAGTGACTGGCAATAGTGGGCAGTTGCAATGGTAGGTGAGAACACTGAGCTGTGGACCAGTGATGTGGATGGTGATGGCTGGCTCCATCAGAGTCTGAATGTTCCTTGTCCCTTCCACTGTTTTGGTGCTGCAGCCCAGTGCTGTGAATACCCTTTTCTACCACAGTGGTTTATTGCATAATAAACTATTTTATGACACAACAAAATATCACAGTGTAATATCATAGTGTACACAGGACCGTGGAGGAACGCTCATTGTAAACCAACATTGCTGATTTATATCCCCCACCTTCCTATCTGTCAGAGTAACATATTTCTATCCCATAACTGTTTCTTATCCTTCCAAATGCTTCAATGCTCCAAAATATTATCACAATATGTAGGCATCCTACCTCTGCAAAGCATGAGAACATCCTGCACTGGGAATAGAATCAGGTCAGTCCAAGAGTTATGTTAACACCCACACCCTTTTACCCTCCCTTCTCTGGTATGCAGCAAGCTGAGCTTATTTAAATGCTAAAAACAACAAAAATAAGAAGTCAATAATTCTAGTTAAAAAATTTTGGCTGCTTCTGACAGCCAGGTGAAGAGGAAACCAGAAAACTTGCAGGGGCATCTACATTATGTACAGCCTGAAATAAAAAAGAAATAAGTTTCTCTTAGCCAAAACCTTCCCAAAGCAACAGTGCTGTGGTAGAATTGAGGTATAATGACTTATAACAAGTCAGACAAGCAGTCTCTCTAGCTGACAGGTGGCACCTGTTTCTATGTCACAGCCCCCACTATTTCTATCCGGTCCACTCCAAGCGTGAGGGGGAGCTTTAAGCAGAGCAAGTGATGCAGTAGGTTTCTGATAGGATGGGAGCTTTGAAGTGAGGACTTAGATTGTGAAGACCATATTGCACTGTGGTTGGTTTGGAGGTTTACAAGGCAAGATTGCTTCTTTCAAGCAGCCATGGGCTTTTGTTTTCCCCAACAGCTGATTTCACACATTTTGCTTTTGCAAAAATCCCTATTTACACATGGCCTGGCCTGCCTTTAGAGCACACATGAGATTTTTGCCAGTGCAAAATAGGCACCTTAAGCACTTTTTAGTGGAAAGGTGGGGCAAAGATGTTTGAACAAACACAGCTGAAATACGTTTTCAGGGGCAATTGAGCTTGGCAATGGCAGACTGGAGAAATTCAGCCTGTGAGTCAGACATGTTCTCATGTTGATGCCATCATTCAAAAAAGCAGAACAACAAAAGTCAGATTAAAAACTCAAGTGCAAAGAACCAAATCTAAACAATGCTTAAGCAAGATCTTAAAAAGAAAAGACACAACAACAACAAAAGGCATACTCCCTCCCCTCAAAGCACATACCGCCGGCTCTTTATATGAGTCATCAGTGGCCTGAGGTAACTCCTTCCCTGAGGTGACTTAAGAACTGAGGGAAGGCCCAGACTCATGATAAAACCATTATTGACCTGGAAGGACTCTACATTTTAGATCATTTGCTTCTTTTAGTGTTTTTAAATTATAAGCCACCATGGGTGCATTGGCAAAAAGTCAGTATATAAACGTAATAAATACATAAACAAATGGAGCGAAGGAAGAGCTAGCATGACTTCAAGGAGGAAGGAATTCCATAGTTTGAAGATTGACTGAAAAGCACCTGCTTCTTGTCAATGGCAAATTCCCTGATGGAATACACAGTAATACCGAGACAGGAAGGGGGATCATAAAGAGGTAGGCATTCCCCCCCCCCCCAATACTCTGGACCCTAACCTTATCAGGCCTTAAAGTCAATACAAGAACCTTGAATTGAGCATACAGATGTATTAGTAACCAGTGAGACCATTTTAGAGCAAGTGCAATACGTTCATGGAAACATTGTCTTTAAACAAATGGACCGCTTTTTAAGGCACCAAATAAACCACCTAGACTAGAGAAACAACCCGCCCTCCATACTAAGTCTCCAGACCTCTTCCCAGTTCTCATTTATATCTTGTGTGAGATATCAGTCCTAACCAGATGAACAACTCAACTCTCCTATTGTTCACAGAAGCTGGACAGTAAACTGCCTTGTCCTCAAAAGATGAACCTCCTGAGCCATCCCACCACCTCACCTCAGTGTCAAGAGTCTTCATATTCAACTCAATTTAGAGGTCTAAGGAGAAATGTTCCTTTAGCTGATCAGGAAACTTGGACAACCAGCAGTTGTTTCCTTCTCTGAGTCCATATCAATTGATTTTCAAATTAATTGGTTATTAATTAATTAGTTAGTTAATATGTGGAACTCTCTGGAATATTATATTAGTTTCAAGTCACTATTAGTCTGTCATATCAAAAAAACCACCCAGAATCTTACATGAGAATTAGAAGTCTAGTTCTACGATATCTCGTTTAGTATAAAAATAATTTTAATGAATGATAATAAAATGTAGAATTGACTATTACACTATCTAGGAGATAACAGCTACTAGACAAAAATATATCTTAAGATCTGCTGCTCACTACCTTAATCAGCAGTTTGAAAGGCCAACAATATTCACTTAAGAGGAAATGTTCTAGATTGATGTGAAAGCTTGGGACATACTTATCTGCATTGGCAATGAAAATTGATTATGTTTATATCATCTCTCAGTTTCTCTGTAAGAAACATGATTCATCTGATGGCATTTTCTGTTCTTGTTAGAGTATTTCTTGCTAACAAGGCTATGAACATTGAACAGACACAGCAAAACCAAAAGTGGTAACCTTTTCAACATTTCATACTTTGATTGGCTGTCTGTTTTTATCATGAGGTTTTTTGGGGGGGGCATGCTGTAGGGGAAGAGCAAACAGCCTGTAAATTATACCAAAGATGACCGAAAAGGTCAAAGGAGTACATTTGCTATTCATTCACTTGTGTGAAGCAGTTGAGGAATTCAGGTTGCAAAACTAAATGCTCGAACAGAGTTCAGAACAGATATGAGCTGGGAAAGTGAGGATGCATGTAGAGACAATGACAGATGAATTCGGGAATGGGGATGCTACACAGCATTCTCCTTATGCCACCGATCATCCACATGTCACTGTAGAGCTGTGCTCAGTTCTTCAAAGCAATGGATTGGAACCAGATTTGCCCTTTCAGAGTTTTTTTTTCCAGTCGGAACTCACCGGAACTCAGTTCTGGCACCTCTCAGGTAGGTGCCATTGCCATAATAAGACAACAAGGGAAGCATTTGTGGAGGGTTTTGGCACCTCTTTTTCTAGAAAAATAGCATTGCCCTTCCATGAGTACATGGGCTCCTTTTCTTTGCAGATAGGACTTTCAGATTCGGTGGAGGGAGCCCACTGCAGGAAGGGAGATGATGATCTTCACCAATTCCCCCTTTCCCTTTCAGTTTCCTGCATCGTCTTCCCCATTCCAGAGAATCCCCCTAACCAATGAACAGGTTTTCAGGGGGCAAGGGGTTGAAGAAGAAATGGTGAAAATTGTCTTCCTTCAGCAGGACTGTCCTTGACCAGAACTCTGTTGACAACAAATCCAGATCCAACCCTGTGGCTGTAAACCAAAAGCAGTAGCGGCTGAGATTTTAAACTACAGGACCTAATTGTTAATATTGAAATAATTCAATGTGGCCTGTGTATTCATTTTTCCACCTATCACTCCAGCAAATCAAGCTATGTTAAAAGGCTATCAGTTTTGTTTGACTGCATTGGATCAACAGTAATCATTACACACTTGGGTGTACAAAAAAGAAAGGGTTTTCCCCCCATGGTTAATCTAGTGAGAGTAGTATAAGGAGTGTGTTGAGTTGTCCAGAGCATTCTCTGCCCATGTTGTAAAAGAAAATTATTTCCCATTATAGACAGAGGTAAAATAAGAACAGTTTGAAAATCAAAGGTACTTAAAGCTCTACAGTAAAGGCAGCTCAGATTAGATAGATAGATGATAGATAGATAGATAGATAGATAGATAGATAAATAGATGATAGATAGATAGATAGATCTAGATAGATTAGATTAGATGATAGATAGATAGATATAGATAGATAGATAGATAGATGATAGATAGATCTAGATAGATTAGATTAGATGATAGATGATAGATAGATAGATAGATAGATGATAGATAGACCCCAGATTTCATTAACATGTGATCTGAGCAAACTATAAATGTCAATGACTTGAGCAAAATGACAACAAGATGACAATCATGGATTTGTTCATTGCACTTGGTATCCACAACAACTTGCATGTGGGTTTTCCTCAGAGTGTTTTCCATTGTATCCACCTGCCAGGACCAAGTTACAAGCCTAAATGAATGTCAATTACATATGTCTCAAACACATTCAATTTCCTGTATGGTGTAATCAATAGATTTAATGAAAAAGCAAGAATGTCTGAATCATCCACACATTCATTTTATGTGTAAAAGACAACAAGTCAACCTATGTACAACGGCAGACACACATGCATACAGGTTAATTGCACTTATTTCCAGTAACACATCTATGAATTCACATCTAATGTCCACCACTTACACCACAAAACATTCTAGAGCACGGGTGTCAAACACAAGGCCTGTGGGCCGAATCCGGCCCGCCAGACCTCGTCATGTGGCCCGTGTAGCTGCCGGCGGCCGCCAGCTTTCACCTTTTATTCTCGCTTTTTTTTTTTTACACAAGAAAGCCGCCTCTTCAGCGCATGCGCGGCAGCCTACAAGCCAGAGAACGCCTGCCCTCTAGCGGCGCCGGTCGTTCTACACAGGAAACCTCCACTTTACATGCATTCAGGAAACCTCCACTTGTTTTTATATTGAGCGCATGCCATCCTGTGATGTGACAGATCCAACGGCTGCCTGAACCCTTCTCTCCTGTACTGTAATGTGGGGGGGGAGGGGGGTCTGCTTATTAGGGGGGGTCTGCTTAGTATTCTGCTTAAAAGTCTGAGCGGTAAACTTTGGATATACTGACCACTTCCGTGTCACTTTACAGTGGTCTAGGGACCATAAACTACAATCAAATAACCCAAAAATGTCCAAGAAAAGAAAAGTTGATGCAGAGGGAAGGCAATTTCAGGAGAGATGGGAAAGTGAATACATGTTTGTGATTAATGGACACAAGCCGGTATGTCTTATTTGCTATGAGGCAGTGGTGGTGATGAAGGAATACAATTTACGCCGGCACTTTGAGACCAAACATGGAGCCAAATTTGCTAACCTTAGCCACCAGGAAAAGCAACAACCTCCGTGCTGTTTTGCGGATTGCTACAGCACAAGACCTAACGCCAGACATCGATGGACTGACCTCAGGAAAACAATGTCAGCCATCTAGTCAGAAAAGTTAAAAAAAAGTTAATGCCTTGTGTTTGCCATATGTGTAATAAACAGTGTTTGGCAATATTTGTATGTTTAAAAAAAAATTACTGTCTGTTATCAAAAATCATTTTTCAATAAATTGTACAATAATTGTACATTTGAATATCTACTTGCCATTATTCTGACTATGTTTCTGCTTTCAGAGCTAGTTATTACTTACATTATTACAAAAAACAGTAATAATTGAATGCAGTGACAATAATTTATGATAATAAAGAGTGGACACATAGTCCTAAAGATACAACCGGCCCTTTGAGGTTGACCAAACTGCTGATGCGGCCCCCGATGAATTTGAGTTTGACACCCCTGTTCTAGAGATTGGCTCCTGAATGGATTCTATCTGGGAAATTGCAGGGGAAGCCGTGTTTTCCAGCTTGGAGCATATTTTAAATGTGCTGAAAGCTGAACCAGGTGGCACAGCAGCACAACAGTATTCAATTCACATATAATACACTTCCATGTATTCCAAGTAGTCTGCACCAATAATGACCACAAGTTCAGAAATATTGAAAGGTATTTGGAAAACAGCCATAACAGTAGCCTTATGAGCACAGTTGAACAAAGTTGGATGTAATGAATTTAAACAATGAAGAAAGGCCTTTGGGAGAGAGGGGGAAAATAACCATTTTATATTTTTTTGAAGGATGTAAACCATTGCCAAAAAGCTTTAGAAGATTATTGCACTGATGTGAAATAGAGACTGATTAGGATACGCTCTCTACAATGAAATCTAATATAAAATGTGGTGCCATATTTCCAGGGAAAAGGTAGAAGACTTGTGATATTAAACAGTACAGTGGCTAAAGTACTATAAAATACACTACAGGGAGCAATGTATCAAAGGCAGCGATGGAATAATAGGTTTTCTTTCCCCTTAATCTCTTCTGGTTTTCTTTTTTCTGCATTGATGTGTCTGGCCCAAATTATACAGATACTAGGTTGAGAGGTTTGCTTTGGAAAAATATAAATAACAGTAATGCCTCATTTCCCCAGAGGCAGTCAGCTGCTAGCTCACAGGGAGGGGTTTGCTTTACTTTTTGCAAAGAGGTACTGGCAATTGCAGATGGATTCTCACCATCTGCTACAGAATGAATAAAAATGTAAATTAAAAAAAAAAAAGTTCATGAACTACTACTTACAGTCCATAAGTCTTCTGCATTTTGTGTCATCCAACCCATTTCCTTTACCTCGTCTGCATTTCAAGTGAAACAGAAAAGAAATAGGTATATAGGTAAAAAATAGGTATATAGGTGAAGGACATTAACAATAATATTAGAGCTACAGATGGTGAATATTACTGGAGATAGAAAATGGAATAGTAATAGGAATATTCTGATTACAGCAACAGAAGATTAGAGTTGCCATATTTCAAAAAGTAAAAACCAGGACACCCCGAAAGTTGTTGAGCGCCACATTTCGGAAATTCCCCCCAGATGTCAAATCCGCCTTTGAAATCTCGGTAATGTCCAAAGAACATCTGGATGTATGGCAGCCCTATATTATTAAAATCTACAGAACAACAGCTGATAGAAAGCTATTTTAAAATCAAGAATTCTAAAACTTAATCAGGCTATAATATGTTTTCCGCTTAGTAAAAGGTGCTAGTCTCTTTTTAGGTAGAATCATGTTAATTCTTATGGAAGTCAGTGCTCCAGAAAGGCAAAAGCACGTAGATGCATAATACTTGTGCTCCCATAGGAATCCTCCCTCGATAGCACATCTATGAATACCAACTCTCAATCTGCATTGTGGGCAACACTCACTTCTGCTTTCTTCTCCTCTGTAAGACCACATGCAATTGGTTTATTAAGGATTTGAATCAACATTATTCTAGAAATGCCAGAAACAGCTTTCTTGTTTTCTAAATATTGGATGACACTCTAATAGAATGGCAATATTCAGAAGTTTGTCCATGGTTTGTAAAGTTGTGGGTAAGTGCTGCGATTGTGTGTTCTTCCTTGGCTCAACCCTTCTGCCATCACAAACTGGATTCAGTACAGAAATCCTGGCTTATATTGAGCCACAATCCCACCTTTTGGCTTATCAGTTAACAAACAAGCAGGATTATTTTCTGAATCTGTTTTATAACCTTGGTTTGTTAACCTGTATTAAGCCAAATATTAGTTTGGACAGAACAGAGAGCTGTGATTTAATGAACCATAAACTATGATTTATGAAGCCATGGATCAATGTGCTGAATGTTCTGTTTTATTAAACAGAAACTCAACACATGATAATTATTAATGAATCTTGCATGCGAGAAGTTGTGCATCACTTGCTACATTCTGTTGTTTTATTGCTCCCCCTGCTAGCTCTATGGTACAAAGGCTCTTTCTCAGATCCCTTTGAGTATTAGACACTGCAACAGGAATAAACATATTAAGCTATGTGCTGCATGAGACTTTCCTTCACTATCAATTATTAACACTTGCTAAAATCATAAAGCAATGCAACTAATATTTTAATAAGTCATAATTTATACATGATTCCACGTTCCTGAAAACATATAGAGCACTCAAGCAGTGCTTCAGCAGTGTGGTAATGCAGGAAATTGGATACCTCATACTTCTGGTAATTGGAATTTTAGCCTTTAACCCCAAGAATGGCATTTCAGATTCAGTCCAGGTTGGCAGTGGGTGAAAGTCATTACTATGAGATGGCTGCTCAGTGACCTATATGAAATACTAAAAGTTGGTGGTGAACAGGTGTCTGCATAATTAAAATGCTGTGCATATCACTGCTGTTAAGCCAGAATTTCATTCTTAACTCCTGTTCTTCTACCTGGGATTTTGATGTCATTTTGAAGCATCCAGATCTGGGGTTTTAAAAGGCTGATTTCTGAAACCACCTACACAAGACTTTATGTTTTATAAACTGAAAGTTATACTTAACTCTGTTGATATATAAAGTGTGTACAGAACACTTACATACAGTCAGGAAGTTTTACAAAATAAATACAGTGATAAATGGAACAATGGAAGTGTGTGAGTTTATCAGTACAGTGGTACCTCGGGTTACAGATGCTTCAGGTTACAGACGCTTCAGGTTACAGACTCCGCTAACCCAGAAATAGCACCTCAGGTTAAGAACTTTGCTTCAGGATGAGAAAAGAAATCGCACGGTGGCTGCGGGAGGCCCCATTAGCTAAAGTGGTACCTCATGTTAAGAACAGTTTCAGGTTAAGAATGGACCTCTGGAACAAATTAAGTTCTTAACTCGAGGTACCACTGTATTGCTGTTATGGCAAAAGCATTTCACTAGCAAACCTAATCTAGCATTGTCTGTGGGATCCTGTAGAATTACAAACTTCTAGAATTCATGGTTAAAGAGAAAGGATTAAATACAAATAAAAAAATGTAAATAAAAAAAATATAACCATTTTTTCATTCCTCAATAGTGAATTGGAGGAACCAAGTGGACTTGCAGAGACCCCACTGAATCAGGCAGTGTACAAAGTGTCTCAGAGTGAAGTGGGTTGTTTTCCAAAGCACTGAACTGGGGTCTGAGCTAAATCTTGTTGTTGGTGAACACTTCTACTGTATACAGTGGTATCTTGGTTTAAGAACAGCTCTGTTTACGAACTATTCAGTATATGAACTCCGCAAAACCGGAAGTAGTGTCCCGGTTTGCGAACTTTACCTCGGTCTACGAACAGAAGCCGAACGGTGGAAGGGCACCAGTGACAGGAGGCCTCATTAGGGAAAGCGTACCTCAGTTTAAGAACGGCTTTGGTTTAAGAACGGACTTCCGGAACAGATTAAGTTCGTAAACCGAGGTGCCACTGTATGTCTCATTATTAGCTACTGAGCATCAGAGGCTAACAATGTGATACATGGGGGGGGGGGGAATCCAAGCTGGCAATTTATGTGTTTTCTTTTTCTCTGCATGGCTTAATACAAAAACTATGCTAAAAATGTAAATAAATATAACATAAATTGCAAGACTGTACAACAAGCTCTGATAACAAATTGAAGGCATGTCTCCATTGTCCATGCAGCCTTACAGGAATGGTATTGTCAGGTGAGAGACGGGAAAACAAATTATGCAGAAACCCATTTCAGCAAAGTATAAGGACAATTATAACATCTGTTAATCCTTTGTGCCAGTTATAATTAGGTGCTGTGGAGGAGGAACCCTTTGGCTTACTCCTTTAACACCTGTTCAAAGGACAAGCAACTGAGAGGGTAATGAATGACCCTTTACGTTCAATCAGAAAAATGTGAACATAGCATACACATTCAGAAAAGCCAGGTTTTAGGTAAGAAAGAAATCAATAGTGGATTTTTGGGTTGAATTGTTTACTATAAAGATGGTTTGCTGATCTAAAATGTCCACTTTCTCATTTTATCAGTGTATTCTGAACACATCATTTTCTAATCTGTCTACCTAGCTATCCTTTTATCTTATGGATGATGGATGACTGAAACTGTTACTTATGTCTGAAAAATTCCTCAGCCTACTTTAAGAGCTGAGATTAAACAAAAAAGCATCAGTCTACTACTTCACTGCCATTGAAATAAAAAAGTTGAGCGGACAATAGTGCTTAATAGTCTAATTTGATATAAAATATCAAAATTACCAAAAAAAACCTTCAAAAATATTGTCCTTTAAAGTCCTCATAAAAACTGCAGCTCACTAAAAGGGTCCATTCTGATATTATTCAGTTTTACATGGCCCTCTACTGGCAAAACTCACCCCCAAATCTTACCAGTATAAGACATTGCTCATTTATGTAAGAAGTATAATTTTAATTAAGGATATGTACTAAAGCTAAGTTATTTCACTGTGTATACATTAGAAGACCCATTCTAGAACTTTAACAAGAGGGAAACACATGGGGGTAAATAGTGTAAAAGTTTAATAATTACTTCCATTTCATTTTGCAAATGCACCTTTGAAGTCATTTCAGGAGTGGGTGTGTGTGTTGAAGGTTATACTATTCTATGAAGCAACTCATGAATGGCTAAACTACAATTCCTTACTACTAACACACCACATAATTTAAATAACACCACTGCCTTCAGAGCTGCTTTATACTTTCCGCAGCAATCATGTTTGCTACAACTACACCAGTCCTACACAGCTGTTTCCTGCAGGAAGCAAGTCACATGTAGAGGGAAATGTGTGCCCCAAAGTCTTTTGAACACTTGGAAATATAGGTGAGCTCCAGCTCCACCATATGCATTTCCTGACTGCATAGAAATGTGTTCATTTCTATAGTTTATTGAGCTACGATCATTACATCCAAACAATACAAATGTGTTTGCTATGGGGAATAATGGTTAAAACACCAGTACAGAAGAAACAATAATGCCAATGTGCAAACCATTGTGACAAATGAACTTGTGTCTATTTATAGCAGGAAACTACTCAAACTGCCAGTGCAAGGCTGACAGCAGACGCATCATATGTGGCTAGAAGGAAAGGCATGACATGGAGATGTTCCATGTGCACCTGCACATTGAGCAACGTTGAAGGAGGAGTCAGTATATATAAGCCAGAGTGGTCGAACGTGTGGCCTGGTTAGCACTTTCCCAGCTTTCAGAAACTGGTGGTAGGGCTCTAGGACCCTACCTCATGCCTCTTTCACAAAACCCAACACCTTGCTTATCTGGCTTGGGAAGGCAGTGCAAGGGCTGGGGTGGTGCCAAATTTTGGCCTCCACAGCCTGCCTAACAAGGCGTGGGTTCTGTGTTGAATAACACTTGCAGCCCACTTCGTATGAAAAGTTGAGCCATGCTAATATAAGCCCTTGTGCTGCCTCCTTCAGCCCCTTTTGCTGCACAGCACTGATCTGATTCACTATACTGCCTACTCTATGCTGTATGCATTTGGGAAGGTTGAGACTAGCCAGTGTGTACAGTGGTACCTCGGGATGCAAACGGGATCCGTTCCGGAGCCCCGTTTGCATCCTGAACGCAACGTAAGCCGTGATGGCGCGTCTGCGCGTGCGTGGGTAGTGTTTCGCTGCTTCCGCACATGCGCATGTCGCCATTTTGAGCATCTGCGCATGCGTGAGTGGTGAAACCAGGAAGTAATGCGCTCCGTTACTTCCGGGTTGTCGCAGAGTGCAACTCGTACGTGCTCAACCCAAAGCACATTCAACCCGAGGTATGACTGTATTGTTAAATAGAGTAATCTGGTCCCAGTTGGCAGAAAGGTGCAAGGATAGAATTGTGGTGAGGTGAATAGGTGAGTACCTGGTGGTCCCTTTCTGGGTGCTGGACATTTCTGGATGCGAGCCACTCTGGGCCATGAGACCTGTGTGTTGGATATGGAGTGCCTATTAAGCAGCCTGATTTCACCCACTCAGAGTTCTGTGAGCCCAGGGTAGGGGTAAGAAAGCCTTCCTACACACCTTAAAGGCAGAGGGGCTATGATGTTGCCAGGCATCCTGTCCTGGGCAGGACAGCTCACGCAAGGCAACATGCAACTGATTTTCTCCAACACCCTTATTTCCCTCTGCTGAGATCTGTAACAATAAATGTAGCCCTCATTCAATTCATATTTTCATGTCTCACCTCTTTATTACACACTCTAGCTTAAAAGGCTTTCAGGGGCATCCCAGTCAGACCTCACACATGATACTGTCAGTTCTCCAAAAGGCATGATTTACTATTAATTTCCTAGAAAAACACAATTCGCTGTTCAAAGTTTTTCTGCATCTCTCCTATGGCAGTCAATCCTCACACTGCCACATCTACAATTTATGGCTTTGTTTTTGTTTTAAAAGGTAGCAAATATTGTTTGCCCATGTTCCTTTATGTAGTTATTAACTCTCCTTATTTTGTCTGTGCAAAAAAGAAAAGAAAAGAAAAGGGAAGCACAGACACTGCTGAATTTAACAATTTAGATAAGGCTAAACCCTTGTAATCAATTAGCACTGTCAAAGAAAACAATTTGTGACGCTGATTTCCAGCTGCAAAGATCTATTGTGTGTGCACACCATCCCAGTCTCATCTGGTTCTGTGAAAACAAACAGGAGACTTTAGTAGAAAGCCCATCAAAACGTGGGGCTCAACAGAAACATTTGTTCTCCAAATGCTTCCTTGCAAATGCCCATCTTTCAGCACATAATGTTTACCCACTGTTTTATTATCAAGCTGTTTTGCCATAGAATTCACATCTTTCACAGCTCACAGGCAATTTCCGCAACAATGTACGGCACCTTCTGCCACAGCATACACCATATTGGAGCAGAACACCTTAGCATCAGTCCAAATAAATAATCTCTCATATATATTCTCTCATATATATATATATATAAAATCACAAGCCTTTTCACTTCTCAATGCACATTGATTAATTTTATGTCACTAGCAGAAAATAATAGGGGCTTCTGAAGACTACATGAAACACATCATTAAACAAGGTATGAGCCATTGTTAAACAAAGCTATGGGTAATTTTCTCTTTTTATTTTGCATAGTATTTCGCTGCATGGACTGAAATATGCTGCTTCATGCTTGAAACCATGTTAACATTGGCTTTCATTGTATGATTTTGCATTTCTAGTCTACATAGGATGAGCAATCCAAGCCCCTTAATCTGCCGTGCTGGAAGAGGCTGAAGTGAGACTGGCATACTTGCACCCAGGTCCTCCTGGCTGTACCAGGCTCAGTTGGCAGGTAGGCTCCACTGTCACAGAGGTCTCCACTCTGCTCACCAATGCCAGTGGTATCCCCAGCAATGGTATCCAGGCTAAGCCCCTGAAACAGGGTGTTTTGATGAAAGAGACAGAGCTAAGTTGGCCAAAGGTTTGTTGGATCTTAAGCTAGCTGACCTACCAGCAGGTTGTAGCAAGGAGCCCAGTCTAGACCTCTTTGCTGACTCAGCCTGGAGCTGGTGCAGCAAACTTTTCCTGTCTACCTCCAGATGTTATATTAAAACCACAGCTGGGTTAAACTGGGAACTTCTCCTTGACAGCATCAATGGGCAGTAAAGTCTGGGTGGAGTCATAATGGGCAGCTGGAAAACAATGATGACTTTCACTAAGCATCACAGATGAGTTGGCTGGGCCTAGGTTAAGGAAACTTCAGCTTTACTGAGGCTTGAGGGTACACCACACCCATACCTGTACACCACCTAACTCTCCTTAAATATAGCCTCCAAACCCAGTATTCTTTAGGGATAAAAGATGGGTAATGGAATGGAAAATATGTGAACAAATTGTTCCAAATGGATGTTACTATTTTGAAAATAGAACAGAGAAGCTGAAGGCATTCTCAAACATAATAATTTGATATTTATTTAATTTTTTATTTCTAAGGGAGGGTTGTGGAGAAAGTATTTGAAGACCATGAGGCATGCATGGAAATCCAGACCACCTCTTCTTATATCTGTCAGCAACTGCTATTGCATCACAGTTGCTATGAGAGTGAACAGCATGAGAAGGAACCAGAAGGCAATGTAGGTTTATTGACTATAGAAGTTTCATGACAGCCAGACTCTAATGGTGGCTTTACAGATGAACAGTACAAACCTGTGCATGTTTATTTAGAATGTGTTCAGTGAGACTTCATTCCACGTAAGTGTGCATAGGACTGGATCCTAAGAACATAATTATTTGATTTATTGAGGAGTAAGCCTTACTGAATGCATTGGAAATTACCATATTTTTCGCTCTATAAGACGCACCAGACCACAAGACACACCTAGTTTTTGGAGGAGGAAAACAAGAAAAAAAATATTCTGAATCCCAGAAGCCAGAACAGCAAGAGGGATCGCTGCGCAGCGAAAGCAGCGATCCCTCTTGCTGTTCTGGCTTCTGGGATAGCTGCGCAGCCTGCATTCGCTCCATAAGACGCACACACATTTCCCCTTACTTTTTAGGAGGGAAAAAGTGAGTTATAGAGCAAAAAATACGGTAATTGCATGCCAGACTGCATAGGATTCTCCTGTAAGACTTGCCCTGTAAGAGAGCAAGGAATGGCAGATTCACACTGTCCCTTTTATTACACGATAAATAGTTTATGCACCTTTGTTTGTATATTCGTTGATGAATGTAGGCCAAGCATTCTTAAATTCTAAGCAAGGATGGGGAACCAGTGGCCCTCCAGATGTTGGAGCTGGCTGGGGCTCATGAGAGTTGGAGTCCAACAACATATGGGAGGGCCACAGGTTGCTCTTCTCTGAAATAGAGTTACAAACCCATGTTTCCTTCTGCTGCCAGAGACTACTGTGATTAATGATTCCATGGTTGTGCTCCATCCCATTCTGTTCTCAGTAAAAACCAGCCAATTCCAAAACTGTCACTCTTAGCATAAAGGACTTCTACTAAAACAGCTTCAAGCTGTTAAACATTTTGCAGCGTCTGAACTTTCAAATTTCGAACTTTTCAAAACCTGTACTATGGATCAAGTTAGATCCAGTTAGTCTGTTATGTCGAAGCCGGCAATACAATTTTGAAATGCTAATTCTAACATAAACTGAGCATTAACACAGAAGCCACAAGGGGTGGGTGGGAATTTTCAAGTTCTTCGTTTAGCTGATGACAAAATATCTACAATGATATTAGACTTAAAACTGTAAGCGGATGGAACTTGAAAAAGGGGCAGCTTAATATCATCATAAAAATGCAAACAAAAAAGTTAGAATTGAATTCTCGCTCATCTCCAAACATTCCCATTTTATGAGCAAATGCATAAAGCATATTGAAAAGCCTTGCTGTAATCCCGCCTAACAGCAGCACACTTGCTCCTATTATAATTAAAAGCAAACCTTGGTAGTGAAGCTGAAACATAATAAATACAGCAACATTTAAAGAAAGAAAGCTGTGCTAATCTGATAGAATTCTAGAACAGGGAAATAACAGCAGTAAGAACAGCCAACCTTACTTGTTGTTGTTCAGTTAAAACATGCTCCCGTACTAGAGAAATCCAAACCATACGAAAGTTTTCAGCAGTCTAGAAATTGCTCGAGTGGATGCTGTGTTTATTTACCAAGCCTTAAAAATCTGTGGTGAGGAGCAGTACTGAGTTAGCTCTCAAGTTCATCAAGAGCACCGCTGAAAGTCCTACTGTAACTACAGGCATGAAGTTTGCTGCCAGTTAGCTTTTCTGCTGCTCTGTGCTTGTAAATACAAGCTCTGTGGACAAAGTCCCAAATGACATCACAAGCAGCTGCTTATTGTTGAGTCTTTATTAACTGGCTGTCAAAAAAAGAAAAGAGGAACTGAGAGGGGTGGGGAGGCACCACTGTCTACCCCGAAGCACAATCTGAGAGCTTAGTCGGTATTTCACTTATACATATGTAAATACTTGTGATTATCTAAACTATGCTTTCCTTAGGATCATGAAGCCAAGTTTCCATAAGAATCATATCCTTTGCCAGTCTGAAAAATGAAAGGAATAAAAAGGACATGAGGTCTAGTGAGAAAAACATATATTAAATGCTGCATTTACCATACTTTTTAAAAGCTGCATACTTCTAGTATGACTTTTTATATATAAATGTTATATAGATGCACACACAAAACCAGCACAGATGCTAGGAATGGTTTGAAGTTTAATAGAGTCTGCTAAGTCTTAGAGTGTAAGAAAAACTTTGCAAAAATTTTAATAGGTTCATCAAACATGCTTAAGTGTTTTGTAGGACTAATATCTTATATCTAACTTGATAAATAAATAAATAACCACCAGTAAAATAAGTTCATGTCTATTTTTTTAAAAGGTGATTATATAAAGTCTCTTTCTGTGTCTCTTTCAGATTTAAATCTCAAAAATTTGAGACTGTAGTCCTAATAATATTTATACGCCCATGTAAGTCTTAATGAAATCAGTGAGGCTTTCTTCTGAATAAAAAGGTTGAGGATCAGGCTGTAACTGACAAAGAGAGCCATTCAGCTTGTGGTGGGTGAGCTGGTAAGACAAGAAATTACTGACCTTTCACTCCTGAGATTGGGACCTGAGACTAGTCTTTATGTGTGAAACGAGAATAACAGCTTCTAGTCTTCAAGGAAACTGCATTGCTCGGATGAGGGAAATTAGCATGTCCCTAAGTGTGTGTTCCACTTCCTTGTCCCCATGAGTGTCACCTCAAAGAAAGGCCTTGAGCTGAAGTTACAAAACATCTGCACTTATTTCCCAAAAGCTAAACTTTTCAAGTGATGACCTGGATCACTGAAAGGGCAAGGTGAAGGAAGTGCTACTGTGTATACTAATAGCTATTCTCTATTGATGACACAAACATGGGAGGACTCCAGCATTGAGAAATACCAACCATGTATTTCTTTTTATTAAAAAAATGCAGTTATCAGACTCAAGAGAATTAAGGAGGACTTAAACTCTGAAATGTTTCAGACATCAGCTTTTCTCTAGTTTACAGATCCTCCTTTGTTAGGAGCACTTAGCCTCCGTTCAAACCGTGCTGGCCATGCACAGGGGGTTGGATTAGATGACCCTCAGGGTCCCCTCCAAACTCTACAATTAGATGATTCTATAAAATCAGACCTGCAAGAGAAGGAATGAAAGGAATGCTTCAGCTTGTCACTCCTTCATGGTCCAACACAACACAGGTTGTTGCAGCAGCCCTGTTACCTCTGGACTTTTATGATCTATGGACATATACATGTCACTGGGTCTGCCTCAGTTTCTGATCACATTAAAAATTTTCATCCTCCAAAAGTCATAAAAAATGGTACTAGCCCATCACACTGTGTCCCAGTGATAGTATTGTCCTACACATGCCTACCTAGATTTAAGTCCATCCTACATATTTAAATAAACAAGGTTGCCACCCTAAATAAGACCTACTGAACCGCTTCTGAACAGATATGGCTAGGATTGCATTGTTAGCAGTGTGCTCCTTATTTTCTAGAATCATCACTGTTTCTCTGCAATTGTGCTAGTATTGTATATCTGTCCTTGTATGCCTCAAACTTAAGTTCCCTTGGTGTGTGACTGAGCAGTCCTGCCTTGGTTCTTAATGATGTCCATTCAACACTTTCTAAAAGCAATGTGCCATAAAAGTGGTAAGTTATCTTATAGGTATAAATAGATTTCCAGTTATACCACTACTTTAGCTTTCAATCCAGTAGTCAGAGCCAAGTGCTTCACTGAACTGAAGGATTATTGCTCTATAGACTCCTTTGCTTGGAAAGGAAGAATTTTGGTTGTTCTAATAACAATGTCTGACCTATCACAGAACTTCATTTCTATCGATGTAATGCTTTGCTGTCAAAGCTGTGTCCAAAGAGAATATCAATGGGTTTTATCCAACATTAATCATAATCAAAGACCCACACAGAGCACATTATAGTAATCCAACCTTGAGGTCACTAATACATGAGTCACAGTGGCCATGCTATGGTTCGCCAAATGTATCTAGAAGGTAGCCCACTGAATACAGTAGTCCCTACTAATTCATATGACTGCATTAGCATGTCACCTTTTTGCAAGGTGAGTATCATGGGGCCTGTGAAGAACATTAATGTCTTTGTGTGATTTCACAAACTCGTCACACTTTCTCCGAAATCAAAATCTGGAAAAACAGCCATGTTGCTAAGATTGAGTTATCACCATGTTTGGGAGCAGTTGCAATCCTAATGCCATGGAATGCAGTGTTTAAATTTAATTTGACTGCAGTATAACTGATCCAAATGCAGTTTTTCCAATTCTGAATTAGAAATAATACATTAAGTATTTGGGGAGAAGGGGATGAAGCATCACAAAGAAATTAACCCCTTTGCTGTAGTAAAAAAAGCCACATTGACAAGGAAGTGGTCCATGTTATGGAAATACTTTCACATATGTTTAGAACCAACTAGAACCCCAAATACATAAAGGGGTTATGTTTGACTTTCTGCTGCAATTTGAAATTTGACTTTCTGCTGCAATTTTTTTTAGTGAGTCTGAAGTCAGTTAGGTTCATGATGCATCTCATTAGATAAAATGCAAAAGCCTAGTAAATACAGAATATATACATATATATATATTAAAATATATTTGCTTTCGTACGTTAAGAAAAGTGCTTATTCCTCCAAAACAAAAGATGCCAGATGCATATTTTCACATAATACTTACACTCATGAAACCATAAAGAACACATTTAAAACACACAACTGCATATTTGTTCCTATATTTTCAGTATTGCTCCGATTCAAGAATGTATGACGAATGAATATGCCACATTCAGCCCAAAACAAATCACTAACTTTCTGCTCCTACAGGGATATATTTCTTGTGGAATCATATGTTCAAAAATACTGCATGTCTCAGATGGTCTTTCTCTCATCTTTCAAGAGTGGGTCTGTTCTTGTATAACTTTTACTAGAATCATCTGGGAATCATTTGTATTAGAAGTAATAAGAAATTCCATCTTCCAGGACTGCAGCAAAGACATAGACATATTTTACCTTCAACCATAGTCTAAAACACAGGTAAGGTTGAACTGAATTTTGAAGCCTGGCTCATGTATTTTTGCCCTATGTTAAAATGTGTGTTGACTAATTTACAATACCAATCTCTACCTCACAGATATTTAGAAAAATTAAGCACTATTTAAAGCTGTTTGTGTGAATCATCTCTTAGGTTTATGTAATGGCACATTCTGGCACCAAATTTTAGTGAATTGCTTTAAGTGATCAAACATAATTTAGGAATATTTAAAGCATGTTGCACATTAGCATTGGTAAATATTTTACAGCAGTGAATTTAACAAGGTTAGTTACTTGAGAGATTGTTCAACATAACTCAGTAACACTGGCAGTGGCGGAGGAACCCCCTCCGGCACCTGAGACGGCCCAGCCCATATGGACTGCGCATGTGCAGCATCCCACGCGTGCGCACTCTGTACAGAATGCTGCACATGCGCAGTCCGTACAGGATGCCGCTTGCGTGCAGCGGTCGTACAGACGCCGCACGAGAGCAACACCCATACGGACTGCAGGTGCCCTCGGCCACTCTACAGCTGGGGGGAGGCAGGGGCCATCTTGTCACCCTTCCCAGAGTGGCGCCCGGGGCAGCCCGCCCCCTCCACCCCCCTTCCTATGCCACTAAACACAGGGCTACAGCCAGAGTTTGCCTTCTCTGGATAGAAAGACTTCTTTTAATCAGATGGGAATGTTGATCCAGCAGAGGGAGCCTGCTGATTGACAGCAGAAGGAGAGCAACTTTTACTGATTCCCCAACCCTCCAGAACAATGGTAGTGGTACTGCTGGGGTGCTGGACAGGAAGGAGCGTCCTCAGGCATGTTCATCCTTGGATGAACCTCTGGTACCTTGGGTTAAGAACTTAATTTGTTTGGGAGGTCCGTTCTTAACCTGAAACTGTTCTTAACCTGAGGTACCACTTTAGCTAATGGGGTCTCCCGCTGCCGTGCAATTTCTGTTCTCATCCTGAAGCAAAGTTCTTAACCCGAGGTATTATTCTGGGTTAGCGGAGTCTGTAACCTGAAGTGTCTGTAACCCGAGGTACCAGTGTACTGTTACAATGACCACCTAGGCTGGCCCACACACTTAGGAGAGTCATGCTCTGGAGTAAAGGTTTGAGGTTGGTCACCCTGGCAAAACTGCCACTTTCTAAGGCCCTAAACCCTCTAGACCTGAGGATTCATGCAATACTGGCTTGTGTTGTGAACATAAGTATAAGCAGAAAGGAAGCAAGAAATTGCCAAGAGTTAACAACAAAACTGAGAAAAGAAAGGGCTGGTGTGGGATAGATAAGACAAAGATATATCCAGACTGTCCCAGAGTTTAAGCATTTAGTCCACAAATCAAAATAAAAGCACAAATGCTTAGGCTTCCAGCTATGCATATGAATAAGTAAACATTTACTTCTCTGGGGTGCTTCTACCAACCATACCTTCCTCCATATCCACAACAAGTGGTGGCAAAACCAAATTAAGTCTAAACATGGCAGATAGTAGGAACAGACATTCCTATTGTCTCATATGAGAACATAACCTTGAGAAGTCTGGTAAATATTATTTTCAGTACTACTAATAGACCAAACAGGACAAACCAGTAATGCATGTGAAAAGGAAGTTAATGTTGTCATCTTTCTAGAAACCCAGTAGCCTATAGATGATTAGGTTTCAAACTTTTTAAGGGTATAGGGCTTTCAATAAACTAGAAATTCCTATTGCTAAATTGCCTCCCCTACCCCTCCACCTTCTCAAGGAAATCAAAAAGCAGTACCCATATTTGCAAATGGAAGAGACAAAATTAATGGTAGGCACAGCTTTCTAAACCCAGGAGAAACTTTTGCTAGAAATGATGGTCTGAGTATATTAAGAAACATTTCCTGTCAAATATTATGGGATTTTTAGTTGCTGGGGGAGTGTCTGCTTCCCAATTCAGTTCAGGAGGAAGACAAAACTACAACCCCCATGATTCTCACCAGGAAATGATATCCCCGAGTCTTTTCTGGCTAAACTGGTGTGTTGTGTGTGTGTGTGTGTGTGTGTGTGTGTGTGTCTGTCTGTGAGTATATTCTGGGACATGTCACTGTTGCTGTAATAATATTGCATTAGTGGTGGATTTATGTTGGACTGCCCACACATCATTCCATTTCATCCAGAGGAGTGCTGTTTAGTTGTTGCCTGTGTTACAGAGGCCCAACTGACCTTAACCAGAATTGTGAGCATTTACATAGTATTGCCAGACCCATGTAGTGGAACACTCTTCCAACAGAGATTCACCAGACATGCTTGCTTTTGACTTTCAGGTATCACTTGAATACTTTTTTTTGTTTGTTCCAAGAGGCCTTTGCAGCTTTTAAAATTTTGATTGGCCAGTCACCTTAATTATCTGTATTCCTAATTTTTTAAAAAGATTGTGTTTTATGTTTTAACAGCGTATACCACCTTAGTATCTCATGATGTGGCAGTGCAGAAATCCTTCTATAAATAAATCCTGGCTCTTCCCATTGGATGAAGAACTCTAGTTCTGCCAAAGGCTTCAATTTTTAGATAAGATTGGTGCATAAGGCAAGTTACAGGCTTCAGAAATCAGCAGGTACATGAGAGCTGAAATGCAGATGAACTAAAACCTTCATCCAACCTGAACATGCCACCTGCTGCTTGCTTTGAAGAGCAGAGCCACCACAGCTATATGCATGGCAAGCAGCTACAGTCTCAACACTGGGCAAACAAACAGGCACTCCTTTGAGTAAATTGGGTCCATGATGCTTGTTAGTCCCAGCACTGGTGTCTCCATTGAGACAGAGCTGGAATTAGGACCAGCTCAGCATCAGAGTTGTTCTCAGTTGGGGAGGCTCCTCACTGACAGGGGAATGTGTCAAAGGCAACTCCAGATCCTGTTTGCACACGAGATCCAAGCCACCAACTATATTACTTGTGACACATGCAAAAAAAAAAAGGTGTTCTTTTCCCAAAAGAAATTATCTAAGTATCTTTGTCCATCACAAATAAACTTTACAGCGCTTCTGCTATCGAAAGAGACAACAATCAGAACAGCTTATAGAAAATGAGGAATTTATTTTATTCTGACAGTTTTATCTCTGGTAGCCTTCTGCATATACAGAACAGATGAGGTGATATGCAGCAGGCTGTGAGAGATCTGGCAACGTGCATCACATCAGTAAACAATAAGGAAAGGGGCAGGATTTTGCCTAGATTTAACCAAGGAAATAGAGATGGTGACATTTTCTACCTTTGCCCTTTTCCTTTTGGAAGAAGAGTTCTCTTATTTTCCAAGTCTCAGGATTCCTTTGACTTTTTTTTTTAAAGTTTAAAAGCAAAATCCTAATCAGTCACCCCTATTTATGATAGAACACTATTTCTTCTCTACTTTACTGTCGGCAATTTTATCCTAAGACCCATTGGTCTTAATAAGCACTTTAGAGGTGTCCAGTGAAGCCTGCTACATTTCGTACAAATTACCAAACCATATTCAGGGTATCAAAGCCTATAGTAGGTCCAACAAAAATGGGAACACCTCAAAACATAACTGAAAACAAACAAACAAAAAAGTGGCAGAGAAGAAAAAGTCTTGTTGATCCAATGTGTTTCAGACCATTCTGGTTCTTCAGGGAAATTCAGGGACCAATGGGGTCTAAAATGTGTTGGAACAACCAGGGGCATAGTGTTTGGGGGAGTAGGGTGGCGTAGCCCCAGGAGCACAATTTTTAGGGGGCATGAACCAAGAGTCTCCATAAAAGGATCCCCATCCTGCCCTGTCTGCCCCTGGTGGTCTTTGAGCCCCAGAGCCCAGCCTGGTCTTGCCGTCGTATCCCCAGCCTCCTTGTTGATTGGCCACCTGGTCAGCATGGGGGGGGGAGGCGGGATCTGCCTGCCAAGGCATGCATCGGCCAGATGGGCTCCTCCCTGCACAAGCAGGCAGATGTGCAGCGCAGCCATGCTTGGCCAGGGGTGAGCTGGCACACAGGTTCCATGAACCCTCCATGTCCAATGCATGCACACCCAGTTCTAGAAATTATGCTGGAATTTAGACCTGTAATATTTAGGCAGGATCTGACTTAGAAGCGGATTCTAAAACTATCCTTAATTAAAACTCTTAGCTTCATTACCGCTACCACATAAAGACCTGGTCAGTAGTAGTATCTATGCCAGGCACAGGCAAACTCAGCCCTCCAGATGTTTTGGGACTACAACTCCCATCATCCCTGACCACTGGTCCTGTTCGCTAGGGATGATGGAAGTTGTAGTCCAAAAAACCTATGGAGGGCCGAGTTTGCCTATGCCTGATCTAAGCATGTGTTAAATTGCTGTTCTACAACTTCCAGCTCAAAAACCTTCATCACATAGGGAAAGCACACCTGGGTCTATGTTAAGTAGATAATTGGTGCAGTGGCTTAGATAAAGGTAGCATAGAGTAAGAGACAACATCTTCTGTTACATTTTTGCAAAGGCACAATATTTCTTTTTTGCCCACGGGTAGAGAAAAGAAGATGCATATTTTTATGTTCTTTTGTCCAGATTGTTTTCTCTTCTGGAGCCTGTGAACATTTCTCCCTGAACTTTACAAAGGAGAAACCCTTTGTAGGCTGATATAAATAAAATTCATAGCACAGAGTACTACTTATCTACCAAATGCCTTTGCAACTTTTCTTGAAAATCTGAGCTCAGAGGTACAGTTTCAAACCATGTGATAAAGACTTCAGTGAGATTAGAAGCATCAAAAGAAACCTTCAATTCAAAACAAGCAGCAAAGTCTTTGTTATATTAGTCACAATATATTTTTTTCTAAATTAGCAGGACTCTCGCTCTCAGCTGTTCAAGCTATTCTTTCCCCTCTACATATTAGGTGAGCTTAAAGGGGTCAGTTTACCACCTAAGCTTGCCTAAGGTATATATTTAAAGTGAGGGTGTGGGTGGGATGTGAGGAGAGTTGATGAACGACAGGGGTACCTTTTCAGGTTCTGGGAACAGAGTGCAAAATGTTGCAGTTGGCTGTAGGTGTGGATTGCTCCGCAGAGTTTAAAGGCAAACCCTTACATCTATTCATGTTAACTTGCATAAAGCAGTGTATTTTAAGAGCTTGGTGTGGGGTGTGGGTGGATGTGGGTGTAATGCATGATAATATTGTTAACAATATACGGAACAATCACATACAACCTGAAAGAGTAGGTGGGGGCAGGGAGCAAAGAGGAGAAAAGGATGATATCAACCCTGTCTTTCTTAAACCGTTCTGCTGCAATAATATTAGAGGCTTTTCCTTCCATTATTCAAACCTAGTAATATATCAATATATTTCATTCAAAGAACAATGTAATGATTCACTATTAGTCATTATGACTAAATGGAACTTCCATGGTCAAAGACAATATACCTATATAAACACCAGCTGCTGGTGGGGGGTGGGTAGAATTGGGAGGGCTGTAGCCTTCATACTGTATTTTTGGATCTAGCTGTGCATTCTTTGAAACAGAATGCTGCACTAGTTGGACTCTTCATCTTCCTGTGATCACTCTAACATAATATATTTGATCATTTGCCAATATTTGTTATTCTCTGACACATTCTTCTGATGTACACTCCCTGCTTGTAGTCTCTTCTGAAAGCTATCATTAAGAGACAGGGAGACCTGCTTCCATTTCCTCATTTCTGTGTGTAATCCCTCTGGCTAAGCTCAATTTTGAAATGCTGTGTACTTACTCTGCAAGCCTCAGGTCAATTTCATCAACTCTCAGAAAACATAATTTGGGACTATTGGTTTGCTCATCCTCTTGTGTCTCATCTTCTGCAGTGGAAGACTCATTATATCTGGAGATAATGTACTCATTTCACATAGAAGATCATATATTAAAACAGTTCCTAGCCCAGTATTAGGTCCCCTATAAATCTAGACCAACCTTCTTGCCCAAAACTGAATCTTACACATATGAATACTGTAAAGCTCCTGCTTCTGTAGCTTTAGCCTCAGTGACAAAACATTGCACAAGAAGAAGAAATAAATTACCTCGCACCAAACAAGAGTCAACAAGTTTCCTCATGCTGAAATATCTTTAATGATTCAAAAAATAGGCTAAACAAACAATCCAGATGTCTATTAAGCAAGTTGTCAAATCCATTTATTAGCTAGGAAGGCAAAAAACCAAAACAACAAATACGAACATAAAAGCAGACAATTCTCATTTGGGGAGGAAATCCTTCTTACTTCTTCCTAAATAAAGCAAATCAGGCTATGGACTTCAGCATGGTTTATCTTCTAAACCACTCCTGAAAGAAATGCACGTGGCCTTCTCTATTACAAGGCAACTCCACTTAACATCCAAACCATGGTTTAGCTAGCTTTCAAGTGAGTGCACTGGAAATGCTGCATCCAATTTCTTGTACATGACCAGGGAAACCCCTAAAATTATTGGATCTACAATCCAAGGAGCTCCCTTAGAAACCACTGTGGTCTGCTCCTGAATGTACACTACAGACCTTTTGACTGGCCTTTTCTTTCTCTAAGAAGCAGCCCTATCTTTTCCATGCCACTTTTACAAATTGATTCGAAAACTTCCTGAAATTTTAAATGTGATTTCCTATATGGGTGCAGTTAGAGATTTTAAAAAGAGAGAGCTGTTTAAATGATTCTTATTTTGGAGACTTGCTTCTCATTATGCTGGAAGTATGAAAAAGTTGTTGTTTGGAAATAAAAACTCTTACTGTATATAGCCAAATTAAGATTTTCTTATATAAGATCTGACTGGATATGGAGTCAAAACCTGCACCCTAATGTTATGATCTCTCCACAGAAAGGTTTATAGTTTCTTCGTAAATGAAAAAAGAGCGAATGCCATGGCCAAAGAGACCTAGGGCAAAACAGAGTGAGAAATAGCATATTGGCAAGTGCTACTAATTTGAGCACTGGCTCAAAAGCTAATGTTATGAAGATTCTAACCATTATGTAGTCTTTTCATTATCTCTTGGACCATGATGCATGCAGCAATAATGGTAGGGACAGCCAGTGGAGAGACTCTGCTTCACAATGATATAATTTCAGAGTACCTATGATATGAATTATTAATTCCCAGGATATTTTTGTACTAGAAGTGAATTAGCTGCAGCTAGACACAAGAAAGCTAAGGCTTTTATTTGTATCCTGGGGGTATATCTCATGAATCTAGTTGCCAAGAGATATGGATTTATATATATAAATGGTATCTAGCTATACAAACAAATAAACTTTGTCACGTCTGTTATGGAACCTGAGGATATATAAATGCTCAAATACTTATTTCTGCTTTAAAGAGATAAAACCAGACTGCCACGCAAAGGGTTTCAAAATAAAAGTACAGCAGCCAGAAAATGTGATGGTAATTAGTTCATTTAATGACCTAATATGAATATAACTGTCTCTTTAAAATGTAGCACCAACTAAGCAAAATATGGAGGATGTGAGTCACTCATGCATTAAGCAGGTGCCTCTATTTTAGGTAGCCTAACATAAAAAAATTGTGCATTAGCATAAACTTGACTTACCCTTCGGGTGAATGATGCCTACATACCTTTGCATTCTCAAGGTGGAATTAATTTTTATTTTTTTGCAATGAGAAGCTGTTTTTAAAATGATGTATTTTCAAGATCTTCCTAATTTGGGGGTTGGGGGAGCTTTCTAAATTTAGTCTAAAGCCCTTTTCACTTAGAACAGGGATGGAGAACCTGCGACCTTTCAGATGTTGTTAGACTCCTTTCAGCATCTGTCAACATGGTCAATGGGCGAGCAGTGGTGCAAGCTGTAGTCCAACAACATCTAAAGGACCACAGGCCCCCCATCCATCTTTGTCTTAGAATGTTCCCATTGCCTATTTAGGCATCCCCATTTGAGCTGTGAGGCTGTTTCGGCCAAGCCATGCCTACCTGTCCTACCTGTGGGTCAGGTAAAGAGATGGATGGGCTGACAGGCAGAGTCACAGGCACCACCAGCCACCTAATTGGTGGCACTTGCAAAGCCCCATGCATAGCACTTTGCAAGTGCCGACAAACAGCTGATTGTTGGTGCTTCCATGCACAAAAACATGTCATTATTCAAAAACAGATCATTGTTACATTGCGTAATTGTGGTAAAATACAGGTAGCCATACGTTTTCATTTTGAAATTGGGTTCAAAACCCAATTTACATCATCAAGGTAATTTGAAAGTACACACTGAGTAGTTAATACTCACTAGGCTGCTGCCATACTAGCCATAAGCAGAAATCTACTACAGAGGACGGATCAGTATTTTTTGCTGGGTGAGATAATGTTTTAACTATGTTTAGAAAGTTTTAAAACTTTAGATTTTTAAAAATGTTTTTCATTACTGTATCTGCTCCTGTGGGCTCCTTAGGGAAGAAGGGCGGGATATAAATAAACAACAACTCTTACATTCTATTTGTCAATGGAGTGGTATTGTCTGTCAGCTTTCTCCTTAGTCCAAGTGTTGTCATTTTAGAACTCAACAGGGAGAAGGACAGAGATAAAACTAGAATTAGTTGGCTCTGCCTATCATTCACTTTGGGTCCTCCTACCATCAGTCTCCCAATCTCCCAACCTACCAGGCCTAATGGACACCAGACACCACTGAGAGGCAACCTTCAAACTTGGTGCTTGCCCTGAAATACAGCTATCTAATACTAGACTATTAGAAGACCCCATCTAATTAATTAATTCTTCTAATGAAATAGAAGCATTTCATCTAATAAAATAATTTTGATATGTCAAAAATCCCCTCAAATCCCAAAAGGTACAATATCTAAAATTTATAATTGCATCACTACATTTTAAATACTGGTATGAAGGGGATTTTTAATTAATAAATAAAAAAATGTAAAGAGCACATACACTGAACGATTTGAGACTCATTTGACAAGTAATAGATAGCAAGATACACAGTAAAGTCCTCTATCATGATTTATGATTGGTGAGGTGAAAGATTGCCATTTTAAATAATCTAAAGTTCTTGACATGGTAATTATACAAAAAGCAATGTTTGGATTTATTTCAAATGTGGGTTGACTCCAATGCTGTATCTGGTTACTAAGAACTGTTTGTATTAAGCTAATTCCTTCTATCTAGCACGTATTACACAGAACACCAAAGAAATATATTAAGGGGGAAATATAGACACCATACACTAGCGATGCTAGATCAAACCCTAAATGTAATTGCATTGCAAGTATATGCATGTGCCATAAGCAGCCTGCAACTTTTCCCTGCCAAAATAAAGGGCCTCTCTATTCTACAATTAGCAAAAACGTTCTCATGCATCCAATATTTCCCTTGAGGCAATAACAACCTTATTTTAGGTGTAGACATCCTTGTTCAGCTTTTATCTGTCAAAAAGGATAAACTTAAAAAGACAACAGCACTTACTTGGATTTGGGGGAGGTGGTGGAAATACATTTTACATAGGCCTAATAAATAGCTGTGGGTACACAATAGAAGCTGACATATCTAGTAATACGAACTGTTATCAGATGAGCCAACCTTTGAATATACAATGCTCTGACAGATGTACTTTCACACACCCAACTGTCAAGGGGTATAAGCAGCTGGAAAGTGATTTTGCACAGTAAGTGGATGATTGAAAAGGAAGTGAAGGGAACTCTGGCTATGATGAAGTGTGTGTGTGTGTGTGTGTGTGTGTGTGTGTGTGTGTGTGTGTTTTCACACAAACGCACATGCTGAAAGTTTAATATCACAAGGTAGATTAGGTCTCCTTAACACCCTTAAAATAGCTTATCAAATTCACACACAGTGGTTAAGTAATGCAGATGAGACCCAGAGATACACCAGCAGAATAATTTCTGATAGTGGTGCTGTTCTGGCACCTCAAAGACCTACTGGAAGACTTTTCAGAAAAGGGACTTGGCACCAGCATGCATCCTGAAACATGGTCTGTTCTTGGCTTATCCTCATGGCTTGTTTGGAGAGAAAGAATTCATGAGGACTGGTTCACACAAAAGCACTAAGGATTGTTTCCTCCCAAAAACTTTGGTTTGTTTCTTCCCAGCACAGCAAATGGGGGAGACAGACATGATGTGAGCAGCATGCTTGCTCATTCCCAGTAAGCCTTGATTTGTTTAACTCTGCCTTACCGTTAGATGCCATCATTATGCCATTGCCCCTGACAGTCATCATTTTCATTCCATGACTGACATTTGTGGGAGTAAAGAAACTCTGAGCACTGTGACATTGTCACTTCTGATTTACTATTTGCTCCTATACATTTTTAGTATATGTTACTGTGGAAAGCAACCTCTGCCCTTGGAGATTTACTCAAGACAAAGGCACTGAAATAACAAACCTTGTATTGCTCACCAGTGGCTACCAACCATGAAGGCTGTGTTTTACCTCCACTGTCAGGGGAATCATGCTGGGAACTGCAAGTGGGGAGAATGCTGTTATGCCTGGTTTTGGCATAGAAACTGCTTTGGTCTATCTGTATGATGATCTCTGTCGAGATGAAATGGAATACTCAGGATGAAACGGTGAAATCTGCTATGATTAAATGGGCACAAGATGTTGGACATAATATTATGTTTGCTGACTGGGAACAGTTATGGACCACAGGTATGAAGTTTACGGCATGTAATGCCCTAAGAGAGAATATTATGAAAATGATATACAGGTGGTACATGACCCCAGTCAAGCTTGCAAAAATCTATCATTTGCCCGATAATAAATGTTGGAAATGTAAAGAAACTGAAGGTACATTCTTTCACCTTTGGTGGATGTGCCCAAGGATTAAGGCTTTCTGGGAGATGATTTATAATGAAATAAAAAAGGTATTTAAATATACCTTTCTGAAGAAACCAGAGGCCTTTCTTCTGGGCATTGTCGGCCAATTGGTGCCAAAGAAGGACAGAACCTTTTTTATGTATGCCACAACAGCAGCAAGAATACTCATCGCAAAGTATTGGAAGACACAAGATCTACCCACTCTGGAAGAATGGCAGATGAAGGTGATTGACTACATGGAATTGGTGGAAATGACTGGCAGAATCCGAGACCAGGGAGAAGAGTCGGTGAAAGAAGACTGGAAGAAATTTAAAGACTATTTACAGAAATATTGTAAAATTAAGGAATTTTAGAAGGATGTTGGATAGAAACTAAGAGGTTTTTAGCTGTAATGCTTTAAGAGATATGAAAAAAAGGTTTACAATTGGGTAAAAGCTTAATGGTAAGGATTTGCTGAACTAACAAACTGAACTGGAATACAAAAAAGGGAGGTACGAGGAGGTCCGGGGAAATAAGTGTAGGGAAGATAGGTTATGGAAAATTAATGTCTTTTTAACTGTTTTATTTTGTATGTTTCCTTTTATTTTTTACTTTTTTGTTATATTTTAAAAACTTTATTCTTTTTTCTGTATTCTGTATTTCTTGTATTTTTTGAAACTTTAATAAATATCATTAAAAAAAAAGATGATCTCTGTCGAGAGAGAGAGAAGGGAAACATGTCCCTATTAATTATCCTCAACCTCTCAGTGGCTTTCAATACCATTGGCCATGGTATCCTTCTGGAGCGACTTTCCGAACTAGAGGTGGGTGGCACCACTTTGCAGTGGTTCCAGTCCTACTTAGATGGTTGTTCCCAAAGGGTGTTGCTTGGGGAGTGCTTTTCAGGCCCATGAAACCTTCAATGTGGGGTTCATCTACATGAAACCGCTGGGTGGGGTTATCCAGAGGTTTGGAGTACGTTGTCAGCAGTATGCTGATGACATGCAGCTCTGTTTCTCCTTTGCATCTGCAGGTCAGGCAGTGGAAGTGCTGGACCAGTTTCTTGCCTCAGTAATGGACTGGATGAGAACCAACAAACTGAAACTCAATCCCAATAAGACTGAGGCACTGTTAGTGGGTGGTTCCCTAGACAGATGGGTAGGAGATTGCCTACTCTTGATGGGGTTACACTTCCTCTGAACGAGCAGGTCTGTAGCTTGGGGGTACTCCTGGATCCTTTGCTGTCACTCAAGGCTCTGGTGGCCTGGAGTGCCTTCCATCAGCTTCGGCTGGTGGCCCAGCTACGCCACTATCGGGACAAGGATAGCCTATCTACTGTTGTCTATGCTCTGGTAACCTCAAGGTTAGATTACTGCAATGTGTTATACATAAGGCTGCCTCTGAAGACAGTTCAGAAACTTCAGCTAGTGCAGAATTCAGCTGCCAGGTTGTTCACCAGAGCAAAACAGTATGAGCATATTGCACTGATCCTGGTCCGACTGCACTGGCCACCAATTAGTTTCCAGGCCCAATTCAAAGTGCTGGTTTTGACCTATAAAGCCTTAAATGTCTGAGGATCACAGTACCTCACGGACTCCCTCTTTCCATATGGGCCTACCCAGACCCTGAGATCATCTTCTGAGGCCCTTCTTCGTGTGCCTCCTCCTCAAGAGGTCCAGAGGGTGGCAACATGAGAATGGGCCTTCTCTGCAGTGGCTCCCCATCTGTGGAATGCTCTCCCCAGGGAAGTTCGCCTTTATTATACCATGCAAAAATGATCTTTTTTAACTAGGCCTTTGTTTGATTTGATTAACATCCTATGCCCTTTTAAAATGTGGGGGTTTGGGGGGTGGGGGGTTATTGGGTGGTTGTTGTTTTTATTTTTATTACGCATTTTGTGGTTTTATATTTTGATTTTATTCTGTGAACCACCCTAAGACCTTGGGGTACAGGGTGGTTAATAATAATAATAATAATAATAATAATAATAATGCTCCTGTCTATCTTTCAGGTTTCCCATAGACATCTGGTCAGCCACTGTGAGAACAGGATGTTGGACTAGATAGGCCATTGGCCTGATCCAGAAAGGCTCATATGTTATCATACACATCCTGGGGCATACCTAATCTAAGGCCTCTCAATTATCTTGTACTGTCAAGAAATAAGTCTGTTTGATTTGTAGTCTCGAATTTTGAATCCACACAGTTGCTGCTTTAGAGAATTCAGTCTATAACTCTATGTGATCGACCGGCTTTTTCTATAGCTTACTAGTTCAGTTACAGACCACATTCATGTCCCTAGATGTCCTCAGAAAGGCATATCTCTTGCCTAGCCAGCTGATAAAAAAGTTTACTTAAGGAAAAGCATACTATGAAAGCACAAGGCACGTTCTCCACACATGTCAAGAACATAAAAAAGTTTCTGATCAAATTGAACAATGTGTTCACCATTGCATATATAAATTCATGATGGCAATTTGAGATTCTTCTTATAGAATGCCCACCCGTGGATGCAACATTCTTGGCTTTTACCACAAGTTCCTCATCAGGTTTCAAGACATTGCAGAAGTCCTTTCGTGTGTGGAAGATATAATGATTAGGCTACATCAGTTCTGGCCAAGGAATCCATGCCCTAGTAAAATAAGGCCTCCTGTGTGAAATATTTGCAAAAGTGTTCTTAAGCAAGACCAGAGACCACAAATACAAGTTGGGTCCTGTTTAGGGCTAATCCATATCATGCAGCTGTGTCTCAGACAAAAACACTCTCCACCTCTAGCAAAAGGCAGACAAACATTTTAGTCATGACACATTGCAGAATACACAAGGACCCTGGTTTTTTCCCCTCCAAGGCAAAACCATAAACAAAATTATTATCTGAGTTACCCCCTTTTTGTACAACTATATGAAGAAATGCCTACATAATACACAGAGTGCCATTCTCAAGGAATGGCTAGCACCGTGCTAAGCATACTTACTAGATAAAAAGCCCCATTGAATTGAGTGGGAGATAGCTCCAAGTAACCATGTATAGCATTGCACTGCGTAACACTTTATAAAAAAAGGTTCTAAACTAGTACCAAGTGAAATCACCTCTACAGGATGCTCTCACCTCCATTTAAATTATTATGTTTTGTACAGTATTTATCATATTACTTTTCTATCGCAGAATACCCACAGAAATTTACAGAGTAGCCACACATTCAGTACAATAAAACTTAAACTAAAAAAAAAGCCTAAAACCACAGCAGTAGCAATACAAACACTCTATATAAATTCATTGGGGAACCAGGTGGGCAGAAGTCCTAACCCAAGTGACCAATGGTGGCACTAACAGCCTTGGCCAGTTACAGGGTCTTCTGAGTTGTCCTGACAAAAACTGCACTTCAAATTGGCCAATTGTGGCCATTCCAGTGGGTGTGGTTCTGGAGGTGGTCTTAGGGGAGCTAGTCTTCACTTAGACCTGCCCCCATAGCACAATATTCCGGTAGTGCTGTGAGTGAGCAGTTAGTCGGCAACGGACATCCCACCCTATATCTTTTGGCCCTGCCTGCAGGTAAGCAGGCAGTGCTCTAGCACAACCTTGCTGTGGAATTAACTGGTTGCCGTATTCAGGGCCAGGGAGGAATTTGTCTGCAGACAAATTGGGCCTATCTAGAGGTTTTGCCCACCTCATAGCAACAATCACATGCACGTAACCCCTCTCCATGTACTTAGGGACTCTACGGAGCAGCCTAGAGTGGACAGACAGGACAGAGTTGGAGAGACTGCTATATGTAGGAAGTGCAGCATATAAAGAAATGAAGATGCATTACTATTACAAAGCAATAGAATGGGTTGCCATTGCAGGGTTTGCTTTATTAAATGATTCATATTCAAGACCACAACAATCAGGATTAACAGACACTGAAATAAATAAATAAATAAATAAATAAATAAATAAATAAATAAATATTTGCAGACACATAGTGCCTGTATCCATGATGTACACCAGTGAATGTAAAATGCCTTGAGGGACTAAAGAGTTAATAAGGATATAGAAAGAGCACCATTATATAAAACACAATCTGTCACTTAGGCACTGGAAACAGTGTTGGAAGTAGATGGTCTAAGTGCATGCACTTCTACCCTGGGACCACCAAAGAGTACTAAAAAAAGACAAACGTGATTTATAATATACTGATCTCGCTGCACATCCTCATTTCAGATGTTCAAAAGCCCTTGCAGGCTGTCACTTGAAGAAATTTCTGATTATTTGCTATTTTGTAGATCTGTAAATCACCTAAATGCTCATATTACTGCCATGTGCTCTGGTGGTGTGCATCAACAGATCATATCGAAATGAACTCGGGTGATGAATTATTGATAATATTACTCATAGCCAGCAAGCATTAATTTGGGGAGAGAAAATCAGAACTTCCTGCAACTATCCGATTGAATCTAATGTTAACTACAGTACTCAAATCCATTCTTTTATTTTCTTTTAATCGCTTGATGGTCACCACAAATATTGTTTCTTATTTATGGTGATACTGAAGTATGCTGAATATATTGCGGGACATCTTTTTCACTGTAATAACATGGCACAGTCAGCTTCTCTGCAGCACATACGTTTTTAATACAGTATACAAATAACCCCATTTTCTGACGTGAATCTCAGCAAAGAGTTTCCCTGTTCTGATTTGACAGACTTTGTGGGAATGATTCCAAAACCTTGCATGTCATGGCCAATAGCTAGTACAATAAAGGTATTTGGATTGGACTGAACCCTTGCATTCTAAATAAATAAATTTATCTCTGTCCTATGGAACGTAATCTACGTTTTTAGCAGCAGAGGAAATGAAGGGAAGGAAGGAAGGAATGTATTTGGGCAGTAAGGAGTAAGAGTAAATACAGTTAGAAGACAGTGTATGTATGGCCTCGTTCATATGCAAATATATATGCTGCACTGGCTGCCAGTGTGTTTCCAGGCGCAATTTAGACTGCTGGTTTTCCTTTAAAGCACTAAATGGTTTGGGCCAAAGCTATTAATTGGAATATATGTGCACTCTTACCATTCAATCTGCAGTTTCCGATCTGCTCCACTGGCTCTCCTGGTGTACCATGCCTTAGGTCGGTAAGGTGAATAGTCCTTCGCTATGGTTACCCTACAGCAATGTGTCCTCCCTAAAAGAGGGCAAGTGTTGCAGTGAGACCTGGAGACTGACCTCCTGTGTTGTGGGTGGGTAAGATTGGTCTGCCATAACACCCGATTGGTAGGTCCCTCGATGTTGGGTTCAATCTGGCCAATGGGGCGCAGTCCAAACCAAAAAAGGCATCAATCAAGGGTGCATATTGGCCCCATTTTTATTCAATTTCTATATAAATGATATGGTACCTCTCTTCTACAACATGAACTTACAGCCTCCAAAACTAGCAGGAAAGCATATCTATCCCTGTGCTGCTTTACGCAGATGACGCAGCAATCCTCTCAAGAACTCCTATAGGCCTTAAAAGAGCCATGAAAACATTAGCAGTATACTGCAAGGAGAGCAAACTAAATTATCAGAAAACCAAAATCATTGCCAAAAGGCCCAAACCTTGCTCATGGTACATCAATGGCCATAAGATTGAGCAGGTCACCCGCTTCAAATATTTGGGTATAACCCTTCACTCTTCAGGAAGTAGAAAAGCCCATGGGGATTATGTTGCAGGGAATGCCCAGAGATGCATAAATGCAATACTCAGGTACCTCAGGACTAAAGGCGGACAATATATACCTGCAGCCCTCAAACTTTTTGAGGCCAAATTCATTGCACAACTTGTATATGGTGCCCAATTAGGCCCCTTTGCCAACTGCACACCATTAGAACTGGTACAATCTAAGTTCTTAAGATCAGCCCTACAAGTGCTTAAACACATCTCCAATGCTGCCATACGTCTTGAAACTGGGTTTGTAAGGATCACCACACTAAATTACTGGCTGAGACTCTCTCTCCTCCTGCGTGGCCTTTCTCCCTTAATTATTATTTCTGAACGACATGGAAATGTGCAGTGATAAACATAATAACAACTCTAGGCTTCACCCTGCAGAGCCTACTTGACTTGGGTTTTAACAAGCCCCAAAAACCATCAAACAGGGTGTAGAAGATACAAAATGCCAAGAAGATCTAGCCAGGTCCCTGACATTTTTAATCAGTGAAACCAGAAGACACTTCACCTCCCAGATGCCATATATGATGAACCTTGAAATTCCAAAACAGCAAAGGGCTTTCACTCTGGTACGTTGCCAGGCCCTCCCTTTAGCCATCCAAGAAGGCAACTTTTGGAAGATACCATATGAGGAGAGGAAAGGCCCATGTGGCTCTGGGCAACTGGAAATAACAGAACATGTCTTTTTTCACTGCCAATACTATACAGATATACCAGCTAGGTTCAACTTGCCTATATTACATAAATTCCCAGGTTGCACAGAACAACTTTATACCTTCCTGCTACTTCAAGATGAAAACCCATATGTTACATACTCAGTTGCTAGATTCTGTGCTACCAAAGGATGGTTTGCGCCACAAACTAGGCCCCAAATGCAAGGTCTCTGCTCCTTCACGCGCCCTCCCTTATAGTAGCTTTTAACTGTTTGTCCCTTACTAATTACTAGTTTTTCATTCCTTGCCTGATTTAAGTCTTATGTGTTCAGTTTATTCATGTTTTATCTTATGCTGGTCTGTGACCGAAAGAAAGTTTGATACCTGATACTTGATACAGTGGTACCTCGGTTTACGAACTTAATCTGTTCCAGAAGTCCGTTCTTAAACCAAGGTGCGCTTTTCCTAATGCAGCCTACCACCGTCGGTGCCCTTCCACCGTTCGGATTCCATTCTTAGACTGAGGTAAAGTTCTCAAACCAAGACACTATTTCCGGTTTTGCCGAGTTTATAAACCAAATCGTTCTTAAACCGGACTGTTCTTAAACCGAGGTACCACTGTTCAACTGTTGAGTTGTGTGTTAAAAGTAAATTTGTGTACGGTTCTAAACTCTGTACTGTTTTTTATCTGTTTTGCCTGCAAGCCGCTTTAGATGGGCATTCGCTCAGAAAAGCAGCCTAAATAAATACTAATCATATCATGTTGATTTTGAAAATACACAAGGCCTCTATGAGAAACCAGCTTCTTAAACATTTATTTTAATCTACTTTACAGAAGATTAAATAAATTAATGAAGTACAGTATCTGATATTTAAAATAAAATGTTAAAGATACAAACATGTAAATACAAGCAACTTCCAGGTGTGGGTGTGGTACTGTGCCTGAAAACTATATAATTTAGCTATATCATTAAAGAAATCATGGATACTTATCTATGGATTAATTATCTGTGTTGAACACAAAACAAAGCAAAGTAAGAAACTAGTGACATAGAGCTAAAATTGAAAATTAAAGTAACTGGGGAGGGTTTTTTTTAATTAAGAAAGTAAAAGGGCTCTGGGAGGTCGAAGGTTTTTTGTTTGTTTGTTTGTTTTTAATTGCTTTCCAGAACTAACAATGGGATTTTTAAACATAAAATTGGGTAAGGAGCCCTAATAGTCTGAACATCTTTCATTCAGATAGAAAAGGATTTGTGGATATATAAGATATATAAGCTATTATATACAGGAGTAGTTAGGGAAGATGTCAGACGACATTTTAATTGTTTCTCACAGGTACCTAGAGGTTGTTAAATAAAATGCAAAATAAAGAACTTAATTCATTTGGCATGTGAGAAGCTTCATTTCCCAACCTTTCCCGATTTTAAAATTGATAATAATATGCAGGCAAAATGCTAGAGTCCTACTTGACCCAATAACTCAATACGCAACATCTAGTATCATGCAAGTGAACTTCTGCTCTTTTCCATTCCTTTCCTCCCCCTGGAACCCTCTGCCCAAAATCTGCTCTGGAAGCATAATCATAACCCCAAACCACCAGAGGAAAGTCCATTCTGCTGGTGGATGAACACCACTGGATTTCATAATTGTTTGCATCCTTTGCCTCCCCTTCCTCATGTTCCCACAATTGTTCCAGCCAGCACATTTCCCCTTGATATAATCCTACATACTTCTCTCCTCTGTGCTTCTCCGTAAAGCTTGTAAATTCATGTAAATCTGCCTACTAAGATTATTTTCCACATAAGGTTCATGAACCTATATAATATAATGAAAATGTTAGATGCTAAAGGATTCCACAAGCACTCGACTGAATCCTTTAGGGTAGTAAATAAATGTTATGAAAGTTCATGGAGAAACTATTATCTAAATTACTAAATAAAAAAAGACTGCAGTTATGTTCCAGGAATGCATTTCTGGCATGGAAAGTGAAAACTTGTACACAATGTCTTTTTATAGACTGGTCTGGGTAATAAATGGCTGCATTGATGTACTTCTAACTGTAGCCATTTTTCCCTCAAGAGAATTAGAAGTGACATCAGTTTTCACGTTATCTGAGAAGAACAGAATTTATTTTGTTCATAGAATTCCAGTTTCTTTCTTTCTAGCAAGTTTTTGTTACTGAAACAAACTTTTCTTTTGATTATTGTTTCATGAATCATGAGACTAGTAGCCAATTCTTTAATATCATTATTACTGTAATGGAATGCTTTCAACTCTCACATTTTGTATTACTCTAACAAATATTTCTGGAACACTATGGAATTGCTGTTTCTTTTGGGAAAGGGAAAACTTTCCCTGTTGAAATTTGTGACCTTCTTCCCCCATCTGCACCTAAACTGAAGGACACCAAGCACTTCTGAGATGATGAATGAAATTAGAACGTGACAGAAATCCAAGCATGGCCACTTACATGTCGCCAAAAAAGAGAAAATGCATCATCAAAAAAGAGGTGAGAGTAGGATACTGATTTGAATAAAATTTCCATATTCTAATGTATATGTATATATGCAAGTATAGAAATAATTACTATAATAATAATATAGAAATAATTACTGTAATTATGAACAGCTACACTATTGTGATCCATGCTCTGGACCCTTCCATTTAGACTACTATAATGTGTTGTGCATAGTGCCTACCTTGAATACAATTTGGAAACTGAAGCTGATTCAATAAGAGGTTACTAGGATTCTAACCAAGGCAGTCTACTGGGAACATATTTCACCAGTTCTCCAAGTGGCTACCAGTTCATTTCTAAATCCAGTTCAAGATACTTGTTTTAACTGTAAAATTTCTACCTAGCCTTAAGATATGATAGGCTTCCCATAGCAATCTGGTTGAACAGCTTGGCTATTTTCTGATGCTTTTACCTCAGAGTGCCTACTTCCATATGTACCTGCCTGATGTTAAGATTCTACTAAGGTCCTTCAGATCATAGCTGACAACTTTTCCCTTTTCTTGCGAGGAATCCTATTCGGAATAAGGGAATTTCCCTTAAAAAAAGGGGAAACGTTGACAGCTATGCTTCAGATGGGCGGTGACTACTAGGGGAAGGTCTTTTTTCAGCTGTGCACCTACTTGTTACCAGGCAGACAGATTGGACACACAACCATGACACAAGCAAAAGCAGAGTGCATTGGATGAGATCTAAAACAGTGGTGGCATTTTGCTCTATGCTGGTTGTGGGGAGGGGATTTAATTGTTTGCAGTTGACACCTGAAGCGTACCTTTTTGCCCACAGCTGCTTGGCTCATCGCTGTCCCATCAGGCAGCACATCTCCAGTGTGATTTTGTCACATGAGAATCAGCCACACCACCCTGTTTACTGGTGAAAGAGAGAGAACAGCCTAATAGCAAATTTAGATTAACATTTGCCAACATGAAGCTCGGAGGCGGCTTGTTGGGGCTGTAGTCCAAAACATCTGAAGGGCACCAGGTTGGCAAAGTTTAGTTTAGATATTGAATTATCTGTAAATTACACCACTTATGCAAGTAGACTACCTGCACAAGCAATGCTATGTCACAAGCAGGGCTTGGGTTGTGATCTTGGCTCTTCAGAGATTAAAAAGAAAATGCACAACATGTTTCTAATCATGTGATAGGAGCCATAATCTCAACGGTCAATATGTGAAGAAAGTTCCAAAGGAACGAGTCCATTTATCTTACAAAGTTGTTTATTTGTGTTAATTCAGTCTGCCTTGCTAGAATAACGAAATATGCTTCTTTGCCTTCTTTTCCTATCCCATTTGACTTTAAAAAAAATAATAATCTGAATTTAAACGCGTTCTGCTTCTATTATTAATAATCTCTTTCAAGGTGCTTAGTGCATGCATGATTTCAGTTTCTTTGAACAGTTTAGGAGCACAAAGCAAGAATTAATAAATAGAAACAGTGATCATTCTCAAAGTAAGCTATGATGCAAATCGATGTAAAAAGTAGTATGAAAATAGCAAGCCTAGAAGTTATATGTGGTGGGATGTTTGCCACAGGGTGACTGTTTCAGAATATATTGTTTTCCTTCCATTCCTTTAAGAAAAAAAATAGAGTTTGGAACCAGCTCTGCCTGCTCCTAAGATTTCTGTAGGATTTTGTGTCCTAACATTTTTATCTTGATAGCCTTAGTCTGGTCCAAAGAGCAGCAGCCAATGTGCAATCAGCATTCCTTGCTAAAGTCTCTATTTTGTAAACCAAAGGTCACCATATCAAATGCTCTTTAAAGATTTTAATCTAAATAAGGGGGCAGTGCAGAGATAGAAGATTATACTGCTTCCAAATGTTTTAAAAAACAACACAATGCTATGCTCATCAGTCTTAAAAAGATGCAGAACAAGAATGGATTGCAAAAAAAGAAGAATCTTTTGACTGTAAATTCACAAACAAGAGCCTAGTTCCAGTACAGGCCCCTTTATGTGAGATTTGGTTAGCTGTTTATTCCCACCTAACTCATTTCAGGATTATTCTTTAGATACCATTTAAATCTGCATAGTCTCCAAGTGTTAGAGAGACTAGTTTCACAATCTCCAGGCTTGAATTCTCTGGCCATGTTTGCACGCAATGCTAAACGGTGGTTTACTCCTTTGTGGCTGAGCCCAAACAACCCTGAGCGAATAAGTATCAGACTCATGTACTCCTAAATTCCCTTTGCTAGCATTTTCGTTCACTTTCGCACAATCATGATTTAGCATTCCATTCAAATTAGGGGCCCTGATTTCCAACAAGCAATGGTTAGTTTAACAAACCAGTTTCATAACCCTGGGCCTTTGAAGTCTGCTTGTTCTGAAACATACCAGGGTTTGTTTTAAACCCAAGATACGGTATCTAGTCCAGACATAATGTTAAACTGTGATTATTATTTTTTTAAAGTTAAACTAAACTCCATCCAGTCATGCTTGAAGAGAAGAGGGGAACATGCAAACACAAAGCTTTGTCCAGGTTCATCCACAGCCATATGCAGATCTATCTCTACTGCTGAATAGGAAGAAAGTAGCTCCGGAAACCTGATAAAATGCATTCCAAAAGTGAGCTTCATCTATTTACCTTGGTGGACCAAAATCCACTATGAAAATAAATAGTTCCTTTAAAGCCATAGATATTGGCTATTAGAATTGTAAGGCAGAGTGCTCATCTGTACTCTCTCATCCCATGGCAAGAAAGAGTAAGTGGCCACTTACTCTTTCTTCCTGTTCCTAAGATAGCGGCCAAGGGTTCTCTACTGTGTGGTACCAAATTCCCAGGGACACATTTGAAGTATCATACAGTTTCCCCACATTTCCTTTAGAAAGACAGCTACTGAAAACCCATATATGCCCTGAAATATCTGAGAGGTGGAGGCCTGTTAATAAGCCTAATGCTAAAAGAGGCCAGTCACTAAGGCAGCCTGCTGAAAACACCCCTCTGCTGCCTCTCAGAAGCTTTAGGAACTGAGAGGCCAGAAACAAGAAAAGAATCCATTAGTTGTACAAATGTGCATTCATTGCCAACTTCAATTTTCTTAGTTTCCCCCTTTGGAATCCAGAATCCATGCATAGATTTCTTTGTTTAAAAATTACTCATATTTGGCACATTCGACTACTTTGCTGGAAGAGCCAAATATGGTGCAATAAGGCCCAGTAATTCCTTTGGGTTTCCCCTCCCCTTATAGCTTGCAGCTCTATTTTCAGCAACATACTTTTATTATTAATAGCAGTCCCTCATATACTGCAGATGCCTTGCCAAATAATCACAAAGCATTTTCGCAAGGTATGGTTTGTTTGTGTCTTATTGCCTTACTGAGACACTGAATCCACTGGAGAGAGAAAATCACATCATGTTGAATTAAATAGTACAGGAAATGATCCAGGGAATCTTCTGTTGAGGTAAAGACCCTGTGCCGCTTGACCTCACTAAAGAGACAGGGTCACACATTATTTTTGCCATAGGATTGTAAAGACTGGAAAAGATGCAGAATTTTCTCACATTTCTTCTAGTAACATTTTTGCCAGTATTCTTTTTGACAAGCTAGACATGGTAGGTCCCATCTGCACTATTCATTTGAAGCAGTCATGGGTTCCCACAAGGAATCCTGGGAACTGTGGCTTCCTATGGGGGTTGAGAGTTTGGAGACCCCTATTCCCCTCACAGATCTACACAGATCCTAACAACTCTCAGCACCCTTAACAACTTACACTTCCCATGATGCTTTGTGGGAAGCCATGGCTGTTTAAAGTGGTATGATACTGCTCTAAATGTGTAGTAAGGATGGAGCCATAGATTCACACCACCCTTTCTTCTTACCGCCATATCTGTCCCTCTTCTTGTAGAATTGATTCTTAACAAGACCGTCTTACATGCACTTTCCTAGTGTAGTGTTGGGTTTTCCAGTGGTTTTTTAGTCTCAACAAACATGTAACAATCAATAAAGCAATACATGTCATTTGCTGCCTCTGAAACTATTATGTGTGTTCTGCTGTTACATCAGCTTTGGGAAAGGCAAGGAAGGCTACCCTTAAGTTTTCATAATAGTTCACAAGTGCTGGTGTGGGATCAACCATGTTTGGTTATGGCAGCACTGTCTATTGGGTATCACCACTCAAGCTGCAGTAACTTGGTACATTTGACCCAAAGAGTTAAGGCAGGATTGGGAAACGAGATGTTGCTCATCTCAATCTCTCCTCAGTCATATATGCTAGCTTGCATGCAGACTAGTATTACAGGTTTATGGCTGATTGTTTATATACTATTAATGGAGTCTAAATTAGAGACCACCAAGTGGATTCTGTTCAAAAGTGAACTCTCTTCTCCCTTTACATTACTGAATTTTAGAAGGACCTACTTGAGATGGAATTATACCATTCCAAGTTATGCTTGAGGATGCAGAGATGAGACACTTTAAAATGTTAATATGTACATACATAGGTCCACAGCAGTGCAATCTAACTCTTCAAAGGGAATCTGCATTAAGATCAACAACAATTGCTGCTCATACTTTCTCATGCTCTGCAATCACAAAAGTTAAGAGCCCTTTTACTGGACCACAAAAGATCAAACTATAGATAGCAGGTTATCCTACATCTTCTGAAAAGCAACCAGGCACCACTGTTGTTTGCAGGACAGTTGGGTTTTTTACATTTCTTTTTTTCCTTTCTCTTTCTTTTGCTGCTGCTACTGCCAGCTGCTGTGATCCTCTGATCAAGGGAAGTATAGAAATTTAATTTAAAAAAGAACAAGAATAATAAGAATAAAATGAGTAATATATGGTCTCATTTTGCTGCCCCATTCAACAATCAGACACCTGCACCCAACTGTACCAGCAGCAGTTTCTCAACCATCTTCAAGAATAATGGTTAGTCACTGTGCAGCAGGTTAGGAGCTAGCATTCTGTCCAGGCCAATGTGAAGTTCATGGCTGGTCAAGGCATAAAGTAGTGGGGCTTAGGTGCTGTTTTGAATTGTATTCATCCAATAAAAGTCAGATGAGGAATGGACCTTAGATTCATTGTGACCGGAACAGTCTTGCCCCTTCCCTCTCATCCTTCCCTCCTCTCTACATGAACCATCCCAGCTGCTGTGGGAGACTCCCCCAATGCAACAAGCTAATCTGTAATCCTCAAGCAAACCTCAAATAATGAAGTACAGTGGTACCTCGGGTTAAGAACTTAATTCGTTCTGGAGATCCGTTCTTAACCTGAAACTGTTCTTAACCTGAGGTAACATTTTAACTAATGAGGCCTCCCACTGCCGCTGCCACCCCGCCGCTGCACGATTTCTGTTCTCATCCTGAAGCAAAGTTCTTAACCCGAGGTACTATTTCTGGGTTAGCAGAGTCTGTAACCTGAAGCGTCTGTAACCTGAAGCATATGTAACCTGAAGCGTCTGTAACCCGAGGTACCACTGTATATGGCTTGAATATCCAATGTGATAGAATGACAAAACACAAAATTCATGTGGCTTACCACAGTAGTAGTAGTTCTAAACATGATACTCTGTTTATATTTAGTGGTTCACACCACACAGAAAAAGAAGGGGAGGAGGAACTCCTTTGCTCTGGAAGATGATTGTGGTCCTCTGACAAGGAAAAGCACTCATGTTTTAGAAAGCAATAATTCCATTAAGGCAGCATGAGTAGCATTTAGCAAACCACAGCAATGTGCTTTGCTTGCCAAGGTCTTTCACGGACGTGCCCTCTCATTTATCAGTGTTAATTACTGCTGTGCAAGAAGAGTTAAATTCCAGTCCATCAGACTACAGTGCTGGATTTTATACTTGAGAGGTGGGATGATTCCTCATTTTAGGAGAAACAGCTTTGTGGTTTCTAAGAGACTATCAGTAAATTACACTTCAGGTAAGAAAGCTGTAGTTTAGGAAGAACAATAAGATAGTTAAGCCCCATCCATCTTGAGAGCTACAAAATTCTAGGTGTCATTTGTCCTGCCTTGGTTGAGAGACCAAGAAAGAGTAGTCTGTTCAAGGTTATCTAATAAAGTGGAAGGTTAAGAAAGGGGTTTGAAGCTGTAATCCCCACAACCGAGTTAAACATTTGTACATACATTCTAATGCACATGTGAGCCAGTTGTTTCAGATTGGTCACACTGCATTGCAACAGCACGAAAAATGGAGTGTTGGTCCAGTTCACCAAGACAAATAGAACTTTCCTATCCTAACACTTTTGCACCTTTACAGTGTCTTTCCAATTGCTAGCAGTGTGGGATATATATATATGACTTTGACAGCTTTCATGGTGATTCCATAATGCTCTTTCATAACCTACTATGATTGCAGGCTATGTCCCATTCCTGCTGTCAATGTGAAAGTGTTTGTAAAATAATTTTTTACAAAGTCTTAACAAGGCAACTTCCCAAAACTTAGCTGTTTTCTTCTATGCCAAAGGCATGAAATGCTAGTGACTATATTGAGAAGCCCAATGGAACACTACAGTGTACAGAGAGCAGGGAAATAGAGTGGAAGGGGGGGGGCACAAAATCAGCTCCAAAAAATGTAAGTGAACATCTGTTTGCTGTTACAAGAAGTGGATCCTGTAGTCCCAGCTTGGGCAAAATTCCCGTTAAAGTCTGGATTTTGAGACCAGGGTTGGTGCCAAGGACTCTGTGATGTTAATCAGGATGCTTCACATATGCTTACTATGATTATTTCTCCCATTCAGCCTTGTCCAGGAACAACCATCCAGTTAAGGCTGTGCTGCAGTTCTAACCTAAATTGTTTGCCAGATAGGTGTATCTTTTAGGTAGGAAGGATCTATAGTTGGCACTGTAAAAGTGCAAGACTTAAATGTTAGAAAATTATCAGGCATGTTTAGGTCTGCCCTGTACTACAGGGATGGGGGACCTGTGACTCTCTAGACATTGCTGGATTCCAGCATAGCCAGTGGTCAGGCCTGATGGACATTGTAGTGCAACCATAGATAGGTCACAGGTTCCCTTGTCTGTTACACTACAAAGTTCAAGTTATATACCAAGACAGATCACATTATTTCCTCAGGAAGAATTACAGATACTATTTAATTTGCATGTGTATGTTTGTTGACCAAAAACTTCTTGTGCTTTGCACTACCGAATCTAGGAGAAGCAGAATGCGTTCAACAATCAGCATTGCTTTTGATTTTATAATCGCTGTTCCTAATGCACAGGAGCCCTGTCTGGAGGCATGGGTTTCACAGGTACCGAAAGTTGTGTGTCCCCCTCCCTCAACGACCTACAGACCTGGTTATAGCATAGTTCGGCCGGCTGACTCTCCTGTGCTAGCTGTTCCAAGCCCAGCAGACAAGAAAAACATGCCATTTTATTCAACCCATATCTAAATGTACCAGAAAACCTTGCTAATGCACTGCAGAGCACAACAGGATGGCACTATGCCACAGTTTGGATTGATTTGTGGCACACATATCAAACAAAGAGAAAGAAGGAGAAGCAAATTGGCCACCATTGTCCTAATGCCTCACAATTGCTATGTGTATCTGTGCGAATGTGTGTGCATGTGATCAGTCTAGAATGCAATAGGAAATGCAAATGTTGCTACATATTAACTCACCCGATGTCCTACAAATACCATACCCTTTGGTTGGGTTTTTTAACCCCTGCAACAAACTGCTTCTGCTTTCAGAAAAAAATATTTACTGCATCTGTCTGCTAAATTTCTTCCCTAACCATCAATGACAGATTTGGACTGCTAACCCAGGAGAAAAGCATTTAGTTTTGTGTACATCTTTCAGCAGCCTCCCAATAAAGAGTATGGCCAGCAAATGTATTGGAACAAATGAGTGTGTTTGAGGCATTCAGCTTCCTTATGGTTTTCTCTAGCATACCTCACAAATCCCTCTGGAACAGTAGCTCTTTTTATTTGTGCTTTGATGTGGCCTTATTGCGTGGCCATGTTGGTAAGGTAACAGGTTTTCATTTAATGAGGTGATGACCCCTCAGTTGGTCCACACATCATAAAGTGGCCTTTGAGTTTGTAAAGAATTGTCAAGGAGATATCAGCACTACCCTTGAATCTTTGTGGTGCTCAGAAGGAATGTTACTCTTGGGCATTATGCAACATAGCCCTACTTATATATTCTAATGTTCCTACTACATATGAAGAAGTACCTGTTGTGTTTCTAGTAGGAGGGCATGACATAAATAGGCACAATTGAGGAAAAGGCTTCATCCACATCACCACAAAATGAACTTTCCTTACCAGTGGGGCACAAAGAAGACCCTTCTCTGCAAATCTTAAAGCATAGCCAGGCTTGTTTTTGCCCAAAGAGGAGTATATTCAGCTATTTGAGTACCAAGAGTTTTAGCACTTTCAAGGTTAGCATCTGTGCCTTTACATTAGCTCAGAAGCAACTAGGCAGCCAATGTACAGTAATTCATTTAGTGAGCCAATCTTGCTGGTTAAAATTCTGGCAGCTGCCTTCTGTGCTAATTGAAGCTTATGAGTCCTCTTCAAGGGCAGCCCCACATACAGTAGTCTACACAGGAGGTTTCCAGATAATAGCCCAGTGTGGCTAGATTACCCCTGGCTATAAACATTCATTGTGGGCAAACCAGCCACAGCTGGAAAAAAGGCAATCCACACCAATCTGCTTGGACCACAGAGACCCTTTTCAACTTCTGAGTTTCACTAAGGCCAGTCAATACCACCATAACTAAATCACAAGATCACTGTGTAGATAAAATGGGAGAAACTATGTAAAGCCCCCTGAGCTTCTTGGCAGTTGTGATACAAATAAAATACCATGGCAGGGTAATACTGCGGATAAGGCCAATGTTTTAAGTAAAGAGAGGCAATCCAAAAACTTCAGCTTCTAATCCCATCTCACCCTGTGTATCTCTGCTTTTCTTAAAAGACATTCCACAAAATGTGATTATGTTTATTAACATGTTGCTCTGTGAAGGTAGCTTTCAATATTAATCAGACATATACATCATATGCCCATAAACATTCCTTATGAGCCTAATTCTACTTAACTCTAATGACGCGTAGTGCTGATTCAAACAAGCTGTTTCATTGAGCTCAACTAGACCTGCTTCATGAATAAGTGCTATTCAATCAGAGGAACGCTTGCAAACTTCCAGCCCCCAACTGTAGGATTTTAATAGGCAAACTTGCATTTGCACGTTTTCCAAGATGCATCAAAGGATCGTGAAATATTTGAACCCACATGTTGAAGTTTGTTGCAAAATTCTTTTAAAAATATTATTTTGTAGCCTGCCAGCATTTATTTTGGCAATGGATACATGAGGTGTTGCTTAAATGTTTCCATTTGGCAAATGCTCAGTGCTACTTATACATTAAAGATTAATAAGGCATATTTAACCAAAACCCTCCTATTGCAACATGATCCCATGGCATGAAAGATGCTTTGCTTACATTGAAAAAAGATGAAGCCCCAAAGACTGGTGATAAGCAACTGAGATGGAAAGCAATCATCAGGCTTCTGCAGTTTTGAGTGCTAGTATGCAGCAATTGGAAGCAACAAGCAGCCGGTAATCCTCATGGATATCAAAATTTTGACTGCATCATAGGTCTATTTCATTCTCTCTAGATATAAATAAATAAATTGTGTTCTTACAAAAAGCCCATTTCAGGACAATGTTTAGTATACACTTTTTCAGTCATCCGGTGATTTCTTCAAAGTAGCATACACAGTGGGGGGAAATATTCCAATGTTTCAAGAGTCTCTCAAGTTAAAATAAAACCTTAAGTCAAACAGGTTTTTCAGTACCCTTTCATTGGCACTAGAAAGCAGTATGACAGTGATTAACTATGTGATGGAGACAATAATGTTTTGCAGGTACAACCCAGGCAGCAAACTTTGAACTCTCAGTTGAACACCACTAGGTGGAATTCTGAGGTGAATTTCATGTGTCCCAGATATTTGGATCTAAGTATGTCTTTAAAATGTCTGAGGAGATTCATGCACCTATCACTTACTGTAATGGAACTGTGAGAAAAGTAGTATTAACATTTGATGGTGCATAGCTACTGGCTAACACAGTCTGTCTATTTACAAAGATTGTCTCATAACTTTTGCCCAAATCACAGAATTAAATCAAAAGCATTCCCAGCCCCTTTCAATACTACCACACATTAAACAACCACTAATTCATAATGGGATTAAAAAAACATGCAGGAACGAAAACATTTCAAGAAGTTTGTCCTTACCTACAGCAAGGCAAAGGCAGAGGAAAAGAAGGTCAGGGCTTTCATTTAACCAAGCTCAGCATTTTCACTTTCACTCTGTTAAACACTGTTAAAGATTCTTGAGGAGAGGGAGGAGGGAAGCTCTGAAGTTTTCAGATCTTCCTTCAGAGTTTTAATCATTCACTTCCCAAGATCCAGCTTAACAAATACCACTGTGTTCTGTCAATATTTGTATGCAGCTCCACAGAGGGCAAGCAGCCAAACACACATGGTTTAAAGAGCCAAGAGGAGAAAACTGACACCCGAACAAACACTCCCTGCTTTGTCTCTTTTAAGGTGGTGCTGAACATGTCATCTCAGCTTCTGACTGCAGATAGGCGCCGTTCACAGATTCCACCAGTTTGGACAAAATAAATAGCAGCTACGCATTACTTTAAAGATCTTGTTTGACAAACTCGAGGACTTTTGCCTTGGAAAGTTTCTTGCAACAGTTTTGGGGGTGTGAGGAAGGATTGTTTTTGCCTTTAAGCAGCTGCCCTTTAAATATATTTTAATTGGCTGGAATTTGGAAAGAATCTCATTTGGCAGTAATTTGCATTTGAAGCACGCCCCTCAGCAGCTGAAACAGGCCCCAGAAGCTTCCTGATTACTTCATCAAAAGGAATTGCTAGAATATCGTTGGCTCCCTCTTAACAGCATGCATCTAGACAAAATTGTGTAATCAATAATTTTTGGCAAACAATTCTTAATTAATTTGAAAGGAATTAATAAAAAAACCCAGAATCTGGCAGCAAAGCAATTAAGAAGATTGTAAAACTTGGAAGTACTACTTTCTCTTTTTCAAACATTCCAGAACAGAACCAAATCTGCATTCCTTGTATGCAGAAAATAATTTTTGTATTTCTTATTTCGATTTCTCCTCTGTAAGTGCTATTGTTTGTGATATTGTAAACTAGTTATACTGATTGTATCTGAAAAATATTTTTACACCACATATTCTTTGCTGATCCCTGTACATTAGTTCTGGGGAGGCTTTTTATATAATATTTGGTTTCTATATTTTATTAGTACAATATTTGGTTTCTATATCGATTTTACCCTTCAGTATTTGTATTTTTATTGTTTTCTTTTTATCTTTGCTGTCTAGATTCATAATTCTAGGCATATTTACTTGGGAGTGAGTCAGACTGAATTCATTTGGACTTCTGAGTGACTGTGCATTGGGCTGGGAGACAGAAGGTTTTTGTTGCTAAATAAATTCAGTGTCATCCTATGAAAGTCTACATTGAATTTGGTCTTATTTTATTCCATGAGTCTTAAGATGTATGCACAGGTATGTACTCTAGATGTGTCCTACCTGTTCAAAGTAAGGGCACACCTAATTTTTTTAACTGTTTAGCAAATATTGCTGAAGTATAGCCATTGTAAAAGCTGAGAAAACATACACCAAAGAAATGTTTGGGACGACTTTGGGAAAAGAACTCTAGGGAAATCACACAGTAAATATAAGAGCTGGGGTCTCATCTACCCAAAATTAAACACTTTATGGTATCTTTATTCCAAGGGGAGAACTAAGAATGTGCCTTGATGTTTGCCACTGAGTTTAGTCTGAATTAGATGTGCTTAACTTTGGGCTCAATGGAGCTCTTAGAATACAGCAAAATCAAAAATTCATGGTTTAAAGCCAATACATAACACGGTTTTTTTCTGAACAAAGTCATAGCATCTAAGAATATCTGGCTTCCCCCCTCCCCCTTTGTGTGTGCTTTGTAGTGTAAGTAGGAGCCTGTGAAACTGTAGCTGCTTAAATGTTCACTTGTCGCCATCACCACCATCGCTACCAGCGTATCAAGAAGAATGAAGGCACCAAAGAAAAGGAGATTATTCTCTGGCTAGAATACAATGAAGACTGTTTTCCATAAATATATGTTGACAGTCCTGATGCAGAAATTTTAACAACAGTTGCCAGGTGCAGAAAAATGAAGCACTTAAGGGTTGCTGTGTTGAAAAGGAAACACACATTATATAGGCAGAACCCCCCACTTACTTTATCAAAGAGTTGCATGATTTAACAAGTTGGCTGCGTGCAATTCTTTTGAAATTAATGCTTAAGAGCCTTGAAATTCCAAGCATTCACCATGCAATTCTCTTTGTGCTGACTTCCTGGGAAATTTGGTGGTTTAATGGTGGCCAGGAACTTTATAAATGCATATAGATCCCACTGAGTTGCAGAACGGGTTCTCAGGTGGGTTTATCACTATGTTGATGTCAGTTCTTATTTTTAACTCATGTTTCTAAGTTGGCAATTTATGGAAAATGTATGCTTATTATTTGGAACCCATCCCAGTCCCAACAAGCAGCAGTGCCACCACAGCAGGCAGGATGGCAAAGCAGTGACGCACCACCTCAGATACTGTGACTGGTAAGAGTAAGTTGGACATGACTGAAATGCTTGCAGCTCTTGAAACTTGGTCTGTATAATGATAGTAAAACCATATTTTCCAGCAAAAAAATAACGTAAGGATTTTAAGGAAAGTAAAAGAATTATGCATTATTAGGATATGCACCCCTACTCAATCCACTTGCCACCCCCTGCCACTTCCCACACATTAATCTCCTTTAGCTTCCCCTTTGCACTCCATGTAACTTCTAAGCTCACGTTCCACCTTCCCAATCCCAGCCCTTGTTTTTCTTTGTCCGTGCCTTCTGCTCCACCCTCATTTGATGGATGTTGTGGGTATTTGCTTGTTAATAAAATACAATGTGAAATACATTGTGTGAAGGTACTATTTAATATTTCAGGGCTCCACATCCTTTATCTCTCTCACATGAGAAGCCTGAGGAATGGAAGCGGGAGAAGTTTGAGAACAGCAAAAAGGTAGAAATACCGAAAGGGAAAACGTGATAAATTTTTGAGTGAAGTGGAGGTGCAGATATACTGAGAGGAAAATGGCAGTTTCTCCCACCCACCCACTCCACCTGCCCACAGTAAAATATCAGAGATGGGTGCAACACAGAAGCCAACACCTAAAAGCTAATAGAACAGAGCTTTTCTAAACTCCCTTCTCGCTTTACTCAAACCTTGTTTTAAACTGCCACTCCCCCCAGATGTCACTCCCTACTTGCTCAAATATCTGCCAAAGTTTTAATCACCACTATCCCCTCTCAGTATTCCTCTATCCTTGCTTTATTCAAACGTTTGCCATTGTTTAAAGTGGCCACTTTTTCTTACTCAGCATCTTTACATCCTCCCTTTACTCAAACCTCTACTATTGTTTCAAAGCACCATTTTTCTCTCAGTGCCTCTTCATTCCTGTTTTTCTCAAACATCTGCCATCATTTAAAACCACCTTTCTGCCACACCATTGATGGCTAGAACTTTCATTTATGCTCCAAGTTCCAAAGAATTAGCCTGTCAATGTTGTTGTGGTGGTGGTTGCCGCTTCTGCCATTATTGCCAAAGCCATAATGATTTCTAAACCCTGGCACAAGTATTTGATTACATGGCTTCATATAGATTTGTGATTCTATAAACATTCAGAGTTGCAAGCACATGAATGCATCTGGATAGTGAGATGGAAAGATGAAAAAATTAGAGATGAACTTCAGAGTCTTGTAAAGCTTTCTTTAAAGAAAAGTGCAGCTGGCTGCTAATGAAGGAGAAAGGCTTGACTGGATTATAAGAAGTTCTTGCTAGTTGATAAGGAAGGCCTTGGTTGGCACCGTAGCAGCTGGTAAAGCCATAATAATAAGCAGGCAGAGATGGGCAATAGTGACACTTGTTATGAGACAATGCTGAATGCTTACAAAAACAAGTTGAAAAGGGTGACAAGTTTACATTTAACATCAGTTGTGCTCTCCCCTAGAAAACGGAGGCAAACAAAACATGGTTCATGAAGAGAGCCCTTAACCATGAGCCCTGGCTCAGACAACATACTGAGTCAAACCTTGCCTTTGCTCAGTACAGCATAACAACAAAGCAGGACAAAAGGACAAAGCAGTTGGTAGCTCCACTCTGGCTGCCTGCACAGTAATGTGGTCTGGTAAGCCATAGTTTGGCTTAGTATGATTTGTTAACCAGGCCATTGTCTCTACTGTCCATGTATTGGTCAATGTGGCTTATGGAAAAGCAGTACCATACCTGCAAAGAATCCTGGGAACTGTAGCTTGTTTAGGATGCTGAGGCTTGTTAGGAGACCACTATTTCTCTCACAGAGCTAGAAGTCGCAGAGTTCCCTCAGAAGATGGATTGTAGTTCTGTGACTTGTGGGAACTGTAGTTCTGTTAAGCACCCTTAACAGACTACCGTTCCCAGAATTTTTTGGAGGAAGCCATGACTGCTTAAATTGATATACTACTACTTTAAATGTATAGTGCAGATGAGGCCTTAAATAATTTCAGTTATAATCTTGAATGTGTGATCCTTGTTGCTACACTGGTGTGTACCTTTGAACCCAGATTTGCAATCCTATGGCATCACGATATGAGGTCTGAAACATGGGGGCGGAGGAATAACCCTCGATTTCCATATGTGACATTCTAAGAAGGCTGCAGAGAATGACTCACTGGGTAAAGTTAGCACTGTGGGAGCAGCAAGGAGTTTCCACATGATGACTCACCACTTGTAGGATTTCTGACCTTTAGCCTTCCACCTTTTAAATTAATATATGGATGGCCTAGGTTAGTAGAGTCTCAATGCAACAATGACAAACCTAAATGTTGTTGGTACAAGCCTTAGCAAAGCTGTAAACTCACAGAGTTTTCTGACTGCTGTTCTATACACCCACACCCACCCACAAAAAGAGGCTTTCATAACTGAGAAAATATTTAAACACTTATTATTAAGTCACTTAATAGCTCCAAGGAGAGTAAAAGTGCAGAAGTGCTACTCTGAAATTTCAAACAGTATATATAAATAAAATGGCAGCTATCAGAGGAAAGATAATCAATCCTTCTGGAGCAAAGACATAAACAAGCAAGGACTGTTTTCACCGTTTCTAATGGCAATTCTCCACTGTCTTCCTTTCATTCCCCAGGCTGCCGGTGTGTTGCTGGTAGAGGGGAGCAAAAGAGTTATACAGAGTAAGGGAACTTTGGGAAAGGAGGAACCCTGCAGAGAATGAGAATCTAATTTATGGCAGAGCAGTAACTCCACAGAGAATGGAAAACTAATTTTCTGCTACACAAATGCTGTGCATTTATTAATCAAGTTACAAAACACTTTTGTGGAAATATTTGGAAATAG